TATAAGTTGTTTCAAAAACTTATACGTATACTTATAGTTTAAAGGGTCTTGTCGAACTAAAATCAATTCAAATTGATTTTCATAATCTGTACCAAGTGGGGCATAACTATTCCCGATATAGTCAAGCTTCATCATCAACTAGGGACTGCGAATACAATGTCCTTTGACAGTGTCAATTATGAACACGATAAACTAAATTCTAGTTGACGGGTCCTTGTAGTGTACGATAAACAAGACCCTTTAAAGTGAATCACTACACGAACGAGTCGATCATTTCAAAGTTCTCATGAAATTATAAGGTCAATTTTTAAGTTTTTACGTATAAAAAGGCCTTTATACGCAGATTATAAACTTACAGAGTTGGATCTCCGCATAGTATATGTGTGGACCTACTGACCAGAATGGCTTATTAAAATTAATCGGCTGAATAGGCATAGTATCCAATCAAATAGCTCGACTCATTCATTAGCTGAACTAATTCTCCCTTCGTTATTTCTACAAGGTGATTCAAAACGATCATCTACAAAAAATATATTTGAGAGTAGATAAATCTGTAAAACCCGTGTGCTATATCAGCCTATTTGATTCTAGAAAACACATATGACACAACTAAACATGCTTTACATCAAGGGGGTACGGATGGTATGCCATTGGCCCTTTTTATTACCCTCCTAGGAGATATTTCCCGACGAATTAGGAAATTATGAAACACCTTGTTTATTGGGTTTATAAGTATAAGTATACGTATAAGTTTTTAAAAAACTTATAACGAAAATTCTCTAATAACGCCCCTCATACCTATTTATTACAGGTCGTGTAGACCATTGTTGCCTGATTTATAGCAAAAACATCGACTTTTGCACGTTGATGATGATGATGATGATGATGATGATGCGCCTTTTATAATAGATCTCATATCTTAGAAGCGTATCAGTTCAAAAAATACTAGAAGACCTTACATATTTTGCCATGCACTGCGCCTATTCATTTGGCAATTCAGTTGTAAATTTTATCTTGAAAAAAATAAATCTTCCAAATTTTTTGAGTTTTCTTGCAGAAATCGCCTACCCCCCCCCCTCCATCCATTTTGTATGATCACAAGGCGTGATTTAAGCTGCTGATATTCTTCTTTAAACGAGTTGGATTTTCAAAATCTATAAGTTGGACTCCCTTTATAGAAGCTTTGAACTGAATTTGCACTGCTTAATGCTGAAATTTTATTGTTTATCCATACATTTTAAGAAAAAATGTATAAAAAAAGATGTTAAAGCCAAATGTTGCCCTAAAAATTCAGAAAATGTAAAAAATTTCGAATTTTCTATGTACAGGCCTTGTTGCCCCTTTAAGAAGCTTAATATGTAAATTATCTAATCAAACACTTCGTCCACCATTTTGAAACACTAATCAATCCAATCTGTGCTAGCGATTCATAGGGCGAGCCAGTGGGATATTTCCAGGGTTCATACACACCTGGAAATGTCAGGGAAATTGACTTGATTTTCCAAGTGCTGGAAATGTCAGGTAATTTTAAAATTAGGTCAAAAGGGCCAAAGATGACCGGGAATTTTGAAACGGTAGACATGTCAGGGAAATGTCAGGGAAATTTGTATCAGTGTTGAAAAAATAATGTTCCAGAGATTAATGTTTCCAAACTGTTTTGAAACAAACTAACGTATTGTTTTCAACCTAGACCTTGCTCCTTTCTGTCGTATTTAATAAAACAAAAATAGTATATCACGGAGGGATACGAACCACTCACATGGGACTTGGTTATTCACTAGCGCCATAGGCGTTCTACTATTCTGGATACAACTGACGAGTCGTATTTAAGTGGAGACAAAAGTGAGGATCATTTTGAATTGACGCTCGGTATAAATATATAATACTTTTGTTCTTTCATATCGGTGGCTCGTTGGCCTCATGGTTAGCGTGCCTGGCTTCCATAGTCTAGGTTAGTTGATCGAGACCCGTTCATGTCGAACTTTTTGATTTGCTTGTTGTCAAGATATAATAAGTAGGGCAAAATCCAGAAAAAGTAGATCAAAAATACTCCAATGGAGTATAAAATTGTCACCAGGATTCCGGAATGAGACGAATGTTAACTCGTGAAATCTCGGTAGATAAAGTAGGTCAGAAAATCCGGATTAATCCGAACAAGGTTCGGGAATTTCCGTCATAAGAAGTAGGTCAAAAATACTCCAATGGAGTATAAAATTGTCACCAGGATTCCGAAATACGACGAATCGAATCGGCAAACTTCGGTACAATAATGAAGTGCATAAAAATCGTGAAACAGGTGTCAGGGGCTTCCCTCATCTTTCCATAAATGGTTCTAAAAGCCTTATATGGATCTATCACGTGACATTCAAAATGACGTTCCTATATGGTTCTATGGGCCTTATATGGATCTTTCGAACAAGTGACCAAATCAAAATCAAAATCAAAATTTTACCTTGACCATTGGATGGGATTTCATAGAAAATATCAAAGAAAACATATTCTCGTGATCCTTAAATCACTTAAATTCGATCATTTTATCTTCACCCCTTGATGGAATTTTATGAAAGAAGTTATGAAAACACATCATCATGTAAGGGTTTTCACCTAAATTAGCTCGTTTTATCTTGACCCTTCAATTGAATTTCATTGAAAAATGTTTCATGAAAAATATCATGTTATGATTTGTATTTAAATAAGACCGTTTCATTTAAATACTTGCTGGATAATATTTCATTAAAAAACGCACTTTAAAAATATTTCAGGATTTGCCTTAATTTATCAATGTAATGTAAGTATTAGATTGACTCTCAAATAGGGTTCTATTTTAACTTTTTTTTTATTGAAATTAATACTAGGCAGGACTCACTCTCTAAATAGCTAATAAAAATTCAACCCTTGGATGTGATTTCGTTGAAAAAAAAATATGACAAGTCCAGAATCAAATGATTTGTCCAGAACCTCTTAAGATCCTGTTATATTGATAATGCAATGGGAAAGGCTAGAAGGGCTATCAACGCGGGAGTGGGGCTTCTCAGCAGTGACTCCTTCGAATACAATCCACTGACGGCCTCTATTTTATATTGGTCCATATCGGTACCATCCATGACATACGGTATGGATATCCTGCAATTGAAACAATGTGATTATGATACCCTTGAATTGACACATAGACAAATAGCAAAACGTATTCAACAATTGCCATGTAATGTGCATAACGAAGCTTCCTTGGCACAACTGGGCTGGTCGAGGATTCGTGCGGTCATAGATACAAAAAAGTTAATGTTTCTGTGGTGTATCCTAAATCTACCAACCACATGTGTGTATAAAATGATTTTTATAATTGAGTTCTTTAGATGGAAGTCAATTTCTGAACATTCAAAGTTGTATAGCAACTATTCAGTAATAAATGCAGTTTTGAACCTTGTGACAAGATACAATTTATGGCGATATATTGATGAATATTTTTTGAATTTTGACCTGATGCCCAAATGTGCGTGGAAACGGATTGTTAAAGCACGCATAATGCAGTATGAAGAAGACAGATGGCACTTGTTATGTAACGTATCTTACAGACTTAGCGTTTATAGAACGATACAAGTTACGATAAAACCATGCGTATGGTGGAGAATCTGTCAATCGAATTGTAAATATATAGGGATGTGTAGGGATATGGTAAAACTGCTAACAGGTGCGCTTTCCCACTCAACTATGACACTATTTGTCCTCTGTGTGGGATGACAAATGAAACGACAAGGCATTTTCTCTTAGATTGCCTTGAACTTCATGAAAGTAGGAGTGACTTGTTGGCAGTTTTAAGTGACAGAATATTTGATGGATATAATATGGTTGAAAAAATGGAGGTCTTACTAGGAAAAAATGAAGCATTAGACTACAGAATGTATGTGAAGATAATGTTAAGTGTCAAACACATGTTAAAAACAAGAGCTGCAGCTATAGCTCTATAAACTATTAAATCAACACAGTTTGCGTTGTAAATATATATATTTTTATTTTTATATTTTTAATATTGCCACATTAACTTTATAATTATTATGTACTCATCTGCATAGGTGGAAATAAAGAGACATAAACATAAACATAAACATGCACCGTTGACTCAACATTAGGTATCATAATATCCCTTTGACCTTAATACTATCTTGATATTGGGTATACTTTTTGTGGACACCCCGTAATTCCAAGATATCACTCAGAAATTGCAGTCATATTTATTGATGGCTGGGAAACTTCCCATTGAATGATCTCAACCTCTATACTCAAAAGTCTTACACCAAAGCTGAGTCAACCAAACAGCTGCAGATGCCAGACCTTAATTTTGCTGACAACACTTTGAAGGTTAGTATTAGTGACTGAGTCTTGGAGACTTGACAATAACAGTTACCTTAAAACCAAAAGCCGGGCCTCAGTTTAGCTGACAGATAGACAATTTTTCAAATCTTACCTTAAGGTCAACCAGAAGGTGAACCAGAAGACAGACCTCAATTATGTTGATGGATAGACTGTTTGACAAGTCTTAACAGCTAATTCAGCTAGAAGCCATGTCACAATTTTAACTGGCGGGCGATCGGGCGGGCGGGCAGACAGGCAGGCATATTTGTAATCATGGCTTTCAGTCATATTTGCTTAGAATTGGAATGAATTCAAAATCTTAAACTTTACCCATTTTTCTCTCGCCGCCCAAATTAAAAACCCAGAATATATATATGGAGACCTATCTTAGGGATTATGCTACCAAAATATGGAGAGGGGCAGTAGAAAATGGCAGATTTTCAATACGAGGCCTAATAAACAATGGACCAATATGGAGATATAACACACATTTTAAAATTGCATAACAAATTTAACCCTTTGAAGTGACATGGTAAGACAAATAGAATAGCATGAAAACAGATCGATACATTAGCGATTGTAATTATAAAAACAGGATATGCCCGGAGCATCCAGAAAAATTTCCCTAACATATACATTTTCAAAGGCGAATACCAGAAACTCATATTTTAGCGATATCGATCTAAACTGGAAGTATAAATAAAACAGTAGGTATGGATACCAGTACCACAATGCCGCAAAATATGATTATGAATCGTATTTAAATTGAATAACACCATTGATTCACATATGTAGCCGATGATTTTGAACAGGGTGATAGAAACAGTACAAAAATGATAATTGCATTGAAGCCGTTCACATTCTTTGCCGTTTGGAAAATTATCTTATCGCTTGAGAACGATGTTAAGGAATATTATGTGGAGCCAAAAGGAGGAAAACAAGCGATAACTAGTAAGCAATAAGTGGGGATACATTTGATGTGGTCAGAAACGAAAATTAGAACAATACGTTTAATGTTCAAAAATAAATAGATGTAATTAAAATTTAAAAAAATGAATTGAAATGAGTTTTTTTAGGTGGAACAATATCAACTTATGCTAGGTCAAGGATGACGTGTTTTTCTGCGTGCTTCGAAAGTTATTCTTGTAAGTCATCTGGTTTCAACAAATACACAAAGGAATGTGAACTATACAATGAACATTCAAGTCCGATTTTGGCAGGAGGATGGAGTCTAATGATTGCAAGTAAGTATCGAACTCGTTGAAATTATTAAACTAAATTTTGATAATGTAATGCCGGGCCGAAGATTTTAATTGGTATATTATTGTATTATTTTATATATGGCGTGAGACTTAAAAAATATACATACGTACATGCATACATTTAGCCGAGGCTATTTTAGTTAATATTCATGAAATGATTCCGGAATAAGAAGAATCCGTGTAGCACCGCATTGCGCAGCAATGTTAAAAAAAGTTACGGATTTCTTGATGTCTTCGATTATAATTACAGGGTGTCCGGAAAGTAAAGGTATATAGTTTTAAGAAAACTATTAGAAATTAAGATAAATTACGATAAAAATGTTATTGTTCAATTAGTGTATTACACTAGGCTTTTGAGCTTTTAATTTTGAGAAGATGCGACAAAATTATTGTTAATTCACGAAAAACACAATAGTACTCGATATATAATATCTACAAAATTTATCTTAATCATCGAAAAAGAGCAAACAACGAATACTTTTTGTGTCACCTAGAACATAGTGCATTAACAAAATGATAAGATTTATCACTAATTGCTGAAACTTGTAGTGGTATAGGAATGTTACATATCTAAAGTACGTGTCTAATTTCTAAAAATCGGCTAAATGAGGTGTATTGCTACTTTGTTTATATGAAAAAGTCTGAATGAATACGTTTTATATCAAAATTTGTGGAATTTGTGAGTTTCTCTCGACGCCTCCCAAGCCTCCAATATATGTTGATCATCGCCACGCATCAGTTTAGATTACTTTGACTATACATGCACAGTAAACTAGAATGGTAAATTGGATATAATTCAATTAAAACTGCAGATTGAATTCGACGCTGAGTAAGTAGCTGAGTTAGTAGCTGAGTAAGTAGCCGAGAAGGTAGCTGAGTAAGTAGTTGAGTAGACTGCTGAGTAAGTAGATAGCTGAGTAGTGAGGAAGTACTTGAGTAGGTAACTGATTTAGTAGCTGACTCAACCCATGACTTAAAAGGAGCTGGATATCATCGATTCGGCTTTTCGAAATTTCAAAACGTCGGAACCTTAAGGATTTCAGTTTCGGAATTCTGAGACTTTGGAGACCTATTTTTTAAAACAATTGGACATTGAAGCAAGTTGAAAAGTAACCAATTTTACCGTTTCTTGACGTCAAATATCTCAAAAACGGTAGCAGTAATCAAAAAACCATTTGCCTATTTGAGGTGTATAGACCTGTGAGTTGCGGAATTGCGCAGGCTTGCGGAGCTTTCATGAATTAGGCCTCAGAGAAATACAGTCTTCTGACTCCCCGCCTTATCAAAAAGACTAACCATGTGTTTCATTTATTATTTTAAATGTGTTCTTTATGCACATTTTAGTGATTCTATTTTTCCTAGAAAAAAATGATGCGATCTACCATATTTTTAAGGCCCGGTCACACCGCCCGGACGTTGCTGGAGCGTTCCTTGAACGTTGAAAAAATTCATCAACGCTCGTCAACGCGCACAAAATGGGGAAAAAACAAAAACACAGGCGTTGGCTTAGCGGTGCACCGCTGAAGCCGGCGTTGCTTTAGCGTTGGTTAAGCGGTTGCGAGCGGTAGCTAGCGTATGTTTAGCGGTAATGCGAGCGTTGGTATAGCGGCGTTCTGCGCATTTGAGCGTTGCCTCGGCGGGGGTATAAATAGCAGCAGCGTTGGTTTAGCAGCATATCGCGTTTGACTACTGGGAAATTATTTCAAGTGGGGAGTGTTTAAGAGTAAAGACCTTTATTGGAATTTGTAACTTTAACAAAAGTCCTTCAAGGATTAAAGAAGAAATGTTTTAAATCTAAAGTGCTTCTATTAATGTAATATGACATTAAGAATGAATAACATTACAATTTTCTTTAATAATCTCTCATGCATATCATTTCAAACAAACATATCACAATTTAATCGTTGCATTTCCATTACTTGGAACCGATTTACGTTCAAATTGCTTAACAATGTCAAATAACATTTACAGCAAAGTAATAATCATGACGCATGACAAATTTTTGCATTGCTGTGCGCGCATCAACTTTTTGTATAATACCATGACGAGTGCAACATTTTACAAGCTGCGCAGACAATTCACAGATAATTTATTGAATTGCTTGACGTGAAAACACTAGGTATATACTATATTTGAATAAAGGTCTCAGTAAAAGTCTATTTGTATTAACATTTAATGAAAAACAAAAATCGCATAATTCACCTTTTTAAAATCCAAAATCACAAACTTTGAGCGCTTAATTTAGGAATTTACAATGCAAAAAATTGAAATGCCAGACATGAATATATATCAAATGTAAAATGCACAAGTGTCTCCACAGTGTTCTACACAGTGGTGCATTTCTCCACGTATTTATAGCCAAATTCTGGTCCCGCTCCGACACCTCTATACCAACGCCAAAGCAAAGTTCATCGCCGCCATGGAACGCTGCGACAACGTCCGACACCGTTCCAACAACCCCATGTACGCTGATAAAACGCTAACAACCGCTCCACCGACGTTTGTGCAACGTTTAATCGCCGCCCGGGCAACGTTGGCGAAGCAGCGGTGGTCCAGCGTTTAAGATTTCTGCGTTGGTCTAGCGGATTCAAGCGTCCACGAACTTGCGTCTAGCGGTGCCAAACTTTGACTGGGCGTTGGTGGAGCGGTGATAAACTTTGCCAGGGCGTAAAATTGTCCCTTTTTCAACGCTCGCAATATTTTGAGCAGCTCAAAACTTTTGGAGCGTTGGGATGGCCACTCGAGAAACATCCGCGTTGGCCGAGCGTTTACAGCGTTGCTTTAACGGATGCCAACTTTTGTTAAACGTCGGTGAACGTTTACGAGCGTTGATGATTTTTTTCAACGTTCAAGGAACGCTCCAGCAACGTTTAGGCGGTGTGACCGGGCCTTAAAGGTTAAACATATCCCGACATCGCCAAATACGTTGTCAGACGTAACACTTTACCCTTGAACTGTTAGTTTAAATTGGAATAACTTTTAAAATAATGACCAGAACGCCAATAGAATTTCACATATTGTTCAATTGACCATTTGCAATCATAATGTCATAATTGCGTAACCATCACAATATGAATTTTCTTATAGGGGCGCTTTTACAATTTTCAAAATTGTCGGTTTTGGAATAATTCAACCATCAAGATGTGGCAGATTTAGCATTATTTTCACTGTTTGCAATGTAAATGTACATGAGATCGGAACATACATGTAGTATGTCTTGTATTTACAATGCAAAAAGGCTTAAAACCATTACTTCTAGTATCCACAATGCAGAAAGTTTTAAAACAGCTATTTCTAGTATTCACAATGCAAAAATGTTTAAAACCATTATTTCCAGTGTTCACAATATAGAAAGGTCCAATTAAATGAAACATTGGCATCAATGGTCTCAAAGGTCATTCAATTCAATTTAATTTATTTCTTATAATAATATAAGAATACATGGTACATATAGAAGAATTAACAGGTGACATCATTTCCGATGTTCATACCAGTACATGTAGAAGCATATTATTACAAAAATTAAGATTAAGGTAAGGTCAAGGAATCAAACATGTCAAGGTTGTGTTTTGTCAAAGAGGAAATCGAAGAGGGAGGGGGAGGTGCATCATAAGCTAAGAAGTTTAGTGTCCGGTACCCAGGCTTGGAGTTATATCTGTATACATTTCTATAAAGGAGATAGAACATGAATACGGAAGCTACAGTACGTAAATATAAAAAAGAAGATCATGCATGCAAAGCCAGAATATGTTTCTTATATTTAGACTTAAGACATTTACCTGGCCTTGATTTTTTGATTTCTGATGGGAGGCTATTCCAAAGAGATGGTCCAGAAAATGAAAGCATCTTTCTGCCAAAGGTTTCTGTTTTAAATTTAGGCAAGGCATAGTTGTATTTACCTCTTGTATCATACTTATGTAGTTCAATATGTCTTGTAAATAAGTTGGAAAATATATCACGAAGGTTATTTTTATTATTTTGCCACTAAGGAAGAATTCTGCCACATTGACTTTAAATTTATCAAAAATGGTGAGAATTCCTAATTATTTAAATATATATATGATCTCTTAATCCACTATGAGTAACTAATCTTGTAAATTTCTTTTGTATTAAATAAAGCAAATTATTTGAATTTCCCCAAATGATACTGCTGCAAGTTAAATAGAATAGAATAGATTAGAGAATGATATATAGCCATACAGGTTTTCCTATCTAGTAAATGGTTTATCTTGTACAGAATGCCAACTATCCTTGATATTTTCATTTTGACTTTACCAATATGTTCATTACATGAATCATTGCTCGAATTATACAAAGAAATCGAGTTTCATTTTTACCACTACCCCTCCTGACATCACACTCCCCTCCATAAGTTTGGCAACCTTAGCTCCACCATTGAACTACATGTTAAAGCCTCTTTACCTTTGGATTTTTATTTGCTTAACCTACGATGAAAATACTTATACTATTGATGGAAACGTAATTTGACTTTATTTCCAAAACCTCCAAATTTTCTCAATTTTTCCTCAATTACAATAGGTCGAAAATTGATGATAAATTTGATGAATTTTTGAAAATCGACATTCCCATGTTAACCAATGGGAAATGGTAGGTTTGCTGCAAGTCATATGATAGAATATCCACCGTCCGAGTCCTTGCGAAAAATACGAGTTAGGCAGGCAATTGAATTTGCTAACTTTATTTAACAAAAAATTTATATGTTTCTTCAGGTTCAACAAAGTTACAGGGCTTTAAAGTCAAAATTGTTTTTCAAAAAAACTCTCCCATTGAAATAACACAGGAGGCGAAAAATTATTTTCAAAAGTGACTTTGAAGCGCTGTAACTTTAGTATTCATCAAATAAACCAAACACTTAGTGTACAAAAAAGTAAGACAATTCAATTTTATTTTACTGAAAAGATATCCTGATTTCTGATTTGCCCCAAACCCTCCATTTTCCATTGGATTACATGGAAATGATGATTTTCAAAAATTCATCAAATTTAAAAATTGGAGGTATTGGAAATAAATTCAAGCTACGTTTCCATCAATATTGTAAGTTATTTCATCGCCGGTTAAGTAAATAAAAATTCAAACGTAAAGAGGCTTTAACACGTAGTTCAATGGGGGAGCTAAGGTTGCCAAACTTATGGAGGGGAGTGTAACTCTTAGATAATATTACTTTCCAGATATAAATGACTGTGCCAGTAACCCATGTCTAAATAGTGGCACGTGTACGGATGGAGACAATAGTTACACGTGTACTTGTATCTCTGGCTATGAAGGTTTATATTGTGATGTTGGTGAGTAGGATGATCAACTGCTATAACATTTTTGCTTCCATTAGTGCTGCAAATTATTTTTACAGATGTTTCGCAAGCAAATTTATAACACTGGCCGATCCAGAAACTAACAAATTCTGAGTCAGCAAAAACACTGGCCCCTTAAACCAAAAATGTTAGGCCCATTGTTGATGCCCTATAAAAAGGCCTAAAAAGGCCATGCCTGTCCCATGGATCCGCCAGTGTTATAGCTATCACTCATATTCATTCATAGAGACATGGTTGACAGGGTGAGCAAATGTGCTTCAGTTCCTATTTAAAAGAGAGTTCTTAGATTATAGATAATTAAAAAATTGATCTCTTAAAAATAACAATTAAAAAAACACTACGAGTGTTTAACAAGTTAAATTGATGAAACCGCAACTGCATCGTTGCTCACATTTAGAATATTTGGCACTTCAAATTAGAATCATTTTTGACTGGTAATAAATTTACAGTATTTTTTTAAAAAAACCTATAAGTATAAAATTAAAGCTCACGAATGGATTTATTCACGAAAATATAAACTCATCTGAAAAATAATAGTATTTTACCCGTAATGCCTGCCTGGGTCACATTTGCTCCGAGTCATCGTTCGGCGCCCGGCCGATTGAGTATTCTGGTCAAAACTGTATACAACAAAATCCTCAATCGGTCGGGCGCCGGCCAATAAATTGGAGCAAATGTCACCCAGGCAAGAATTATCGGATAAAATTAAATGTACTTACTTACAAAAAATGTTCGCTTGTCTGAATATTTCCGACAAGCACGTGGATTTTCATTTAAAAGCTGCAATTGATAAAACTCAATAATTACTACCGCAACCGCGTTTTTATTCATTGCTGAGAAATTTTGAACATGTGGTGCTTATATTCGAGACAGTCCGAACAACACAGAACAACACACTTCTGTAATTTAACGGCATGTCTATGTCTAATTTTACTTTCCAGATACAGACGAGTGCTCTAGCAATCCATGTCTGAACGGTGGAACATGCACGGATGAGGTCAACGGCTACACATGTACTTGTGTCCCTGGATATGAGGGGGTGGAGTGTGCCATAAGTTTGTATTAATTCTATTGGCCGTATATGCTGATAAATGTTAGAACTAAACTAGGGAGCAACTTGTATGCATAGGTTTTCAGTCATTGTCAAGCATATTTTCTTATTCCTCCAAAGCACCCTTAATTCACACTGGCAATAATCAAGAATCAATTAATTTTATTGACCTGAGCAATCTGTAAATTAAAGGTTCTTATTTTCAAAAATGTTTTCTTGCCTGATTGTTTCCGACAAGCTCATGGATTTTCATTTAAAAGCGCAATTCATAAAACTCACTAATTACTACCGCGTTTTTATTCATTGCTGAGAAATTTTGAACATGTGATGCTTATGTTCAAGACAGTCGGAACTACGCAGAACACACTTCTGTATTCTAACGACATGTTTATGTCTTATTTTACTTTCCAGATACAGACGAGTGCTCTAGCAATCCATGTCTGAACGGTGGAACATGCACGGATGAGGTCAACGGCTACACATGTACTTGTGTCCCTGGATATGAGGGGGTGGAGTGTGTCATAAGTGTGTATCTATAATACTATTAGCCGTATGCTTATAAATGTTAGAACTAAACTAGGGAGCAACTTGTATGCATAGGTTTTCAGTCATTGTCAAGCATATTTTCTTATTCCTCCAAAGCACCCTTCACACCGGCAATCATCAAGAATCAATTAATTTTATTGACCTGCATTTTTACAAAAAAAAAATCAAAAAATACTGCTTGGATGCATTGCCGAGTAATATTTTGCAATGCGTGCTCATATTGAATTTGAGACAGTCAAAACTACACAGAAGTACGTATTCAAATGACGTAGTGCAGAAGTCCGTCCGAATGGGGAGAGAGTTTGGGCAACCACCCTCCCCCTTTTCAAGAATTTTTTTAGAATAGTATTTAATTGTGCAAATATAGTTATCAGATATGCTCCGAATGTACTAGAGAGGGTCTCAATCTCAATTTTTTCAGACCCACTCCCGCTAGCTTGTGTTGCTCCGCATCGTCGACGCTTTGCGTGGGCGTGTGGGCGACACAACACATCTGTACTCTTTGGAAATCGTTCCGACGGACCTGCCCCAATATGATTTCCCCATGAAAAATTAATTCATCTGACTTCAAAATGAATGTACTGCTTTTATTATTGCATTCATACGTTCACTAATGTCTTGTTCACCAATATCCAGCATTGTATTGGTGACTGGGTCAGTAGGCCTATGTAGGTCAATTTTGACCCATTGAAGTGAACAGGTGAAGTACCCCGATCGAGCCTCCCAAATTTAGTGATAATGATCACACCATGCAGGGCTAGCTTTTGGGGATTTAGACATAATTCTGCCATGTTTGACTAAAACTCACGACAATAGATGATTGTCGATGTGAAGGCTGTTTGTCGTTTTATATGCGAAAAATAAGTTTTGCCACGTGTGAACTGAACACATGGCTCTTGTTGATAAAGGCTGTCTGTAGCTTTTGGGGATTAAGAAAATAATTGTGACACGTTTGACTTAAACACATGGCTCTTCGCGTGACTTGCAAAAATTATAGACACTGTCAGGGTGTTTCATATGTGTGCATCCCCCATAAACTCATATGTAGTATTGCCACCCTAGCATGTTACATATCATTTTGTTTCTTATGGAAAGATACATAAGATTGCAGAGTTTCAGAATCCAGAGGTACCCCTGAAAAAAATACAACGTATCTAAATACTTTACACCAGTCATGTGTTAAATTCACACGTGGTAAGACTTCTTTTATAAATCCCCAAAAGGTACTCATTTATTTTTAACATTAGACTACGATGTACTTTTTTCCTTTGAGAAAATATGACGAACAATTCAGGTAAACTAGAAAACAGCAACTCCACGGAGTAGCAAATCCCACAGAACAAAAATGTTTTGATATTGTTTTGTAATCTTCTCGAATTTTTTCTTGAACAGTCCTCCCCTTGTTCATACGTATCAGCATTTAAATGTGAACCACATCTGTCAACTGGTATTTGAGTTATCAAAGATTATTCTTGAGCAGTAGAGCTCCTTTATCTCTAGGCATTGGCATATAAACTTTGAACCAAATCTGTCGACTGGTATTTGAGTTATCAATGCTTACGTTTTTACGAAAATGGTGGCCATTTTGAAATTCAGCGGCATCTTAAAATGCCTTCTCAAACAGTGTTCCTTCGTCCCTGGGCATCAGCATATAAAGTTTGAACCAAATCCGTGTACTGGTATTTGGATTATCAAAGATTACGTTTTTACAAAAATGGCTACCATTTGAAATTCGGTAGCTATCTTTAAAATATCTTCTTGAGTGGAGTTCTCATGTCTCTAGGCATCAGCATATAAAATTTGATCCAGATCCTTCAACTGGTATTTGATTTATCAAAGGCTACGAAAAATGGCGGCTATTTTGAAATCCAGGCACCATCTTGAAAAATCCTTCTTGAGCAGAGCTCACGAAAATTCCTTCCCCAACAAAGCTCCATTGCCTTAAGGCATCAGCATATAAAACTTGAACCAAATCCGTCAACTAGTTTTTGAGTTATCAAAGATTAATTTTTTCTACGAAAAATGGTGGCCATTTTGAAGAGCGGCCATATTGAAAATTCCTTCCGAGCAGAGTCCTACACCTATAAGGCATACGCATATAAAAGTTCCGTCAACCGGTATTTGAGTTATCGCCAGGAGATACGAACGGACGGACGGATGGACGGACGGACGGTTTTCCTATATCCTCCTCGAACTTAGTTCGGTGGGATAATAAGAACAAAGTGACTGCCAATGGCCATTATTGATTTCTACATTTGGCTCTATATCAACATAACCTGCATTTATAAAATCAATTATTGTACTCCTTACTCCATTACACTCTTGTTTAGGGCAACCACTTTTAAGATAAACTAAAATAAAAAAATATGTTATGAATATCAAAAAACCTCAAAGCTTTTATTCTACATTTGGAAAGCAATTATATTTTGATTTGAAGGAATAATAAAATGGCAAAATTGTGTAAATGTTTTTATCCCATACTTGGACGTGTTTCAGGTACACAAAGCAGGTTTGTAAAAACTTATATTTTCAACAGCGGGCAGATATAGAGATTATCCTATATGAGGTTCAGGATATTGGGATTATCCCGAGGCCAATATAATATATTTGCCCGAGGGCCGCAGGTCCCGAGGGAAAATATATTATATTGGCCAAGGGATAATCCCAATATCCCGAACCGACTATAGGATAATATGTTTATCCCATACCAATCTTGGTCATCTGGTTCACATTGTTCAATCGTGGAAATATTTTAGAATATTCATGTCCAGTTTTGTTTTCTTGGCCGTCGGCGGATTTTCCTGTTCTCTCAAATATTCCCAGATTTATTTTCTCGAATTTTTGATTGATTAAGTGGATACTCCTTCCCTTTTTTTAAACCATCAAACAGATCCCGATTGTCTATGTTTTCTCCATTGTCTTTAAAAGTCATTACGCGAACGTTACAAATTATGAACAAATATGCGAGCGGCGATTATGACGTAGCGGGCAGATATACTATATCTGCCCGCTCTGAGCGGGACGTAAAGCTATATCTGCCCGCTGATGAAAATATAAGTTTTTACAAACCGGCTTTATGTACCTATAACACGTCCAAGTATGGGATAAATAGAGATTATCCTATATGAGGTTCAGGATATTGGGATTATCCCGAGGCCAATATAATATATCTCCCCGAGGGCCGTAGGTCCCGAGGGTAGATATATTATATTGGCCAAGGGATAATCCAAATATCCCGAATCGACTATAGGATGATCTGTTTATCCCATACCAATCACATTGTTCACAGTTCAGAAACTTTGCAATCAACCGTGGAATGATTTTAAAATATTCATGTCCAGTTTTGTATTCTTGTCCGTAGCCGGATTTTCCTGTTCAAATCTTTGATTATTAATGGGGCATACCGCTCCTTCCCTTCTTTAAAGCATTAAACAGATCGCGATTGTCTGCGTTTTTCTCCATTGTCGTTTACAGTATGCGAACGTTACAAAAAAGAACCAATACGGGAACAGCGATTATGACGTAGCGGGCAGATATACTATATCTGCCCGCTCGGAGCGGGACGTAAAGCTATATCTGCCCGCTGATGAAAATATAAGTTTTTACAAACCGGCTTTATGTACCTGTAACACGTCCAAGTATGGGATAAATAGCTATACGTCACGTCCCGTGTCCCGCTCCGAGCGGGCAGATATATTGTATAGCAATGGACATTAAATGCAGACAATCGCGACCTGTTTTAAACCCTACCCCTGTTTATAATCAAAGATTCGAGAGCATAAATGTGGATGAATAATGAAAGAATAGAAAATTTCTGCAACGACCAAGAAAAAAACTGGGCATGAATATTCTAAAAAATCACTAATGTTGAAATTTTTCTGAACTCGGCCAATTGAACAATGTGAACCTTATGAGCAAGATTGGTATGGGATAAACTGGATTCTAACAATACAATCCCACATGAATGTATTTGTTGAGATTCGATCAACTTGATTTCTTCTGTGAAAATGAGGATTGCAGCAAGAGTGCATTGACATACATTTAACATGGTGACATACATGATGGTATTCCGATACTGAGTCATTGGTCAATGGTGTATGTCCCCATGTTAAGTCAATGCAACCTTGGTGAAGTCCTCAATTTGATCGAGAGATTGATCAAGAAGATTCAATTTGGATAGTATTACTAGAACCCATTTTCAATTGTAAGAATTGGGGTTCTTAAACAGGGTATACGTATGAGGGTTTGCTTTTTAGAACTTTTTGTTGGTACTATTAATGATTTTACATTCATTCCAGATACAAATGAGTGTTCTAGTAATCCATGTTTAAATGGTGGAACATGTATAGATCAAGTCAACAGTTACACATGTAATTGCGGAAGTAGTTATATTGGTTCGCAGTGTCAAACTGGTGAGTGTAAAAGTGATTGTATTCTTATTCGATTCATAGATTGTAGTAGGTTGTATTTTGATAGCTGATTTCCATGTATATTTATTCATAATTCTATTAGATACGCTGGGACTTTTTATCCATGGAACAACGATGACGCATATGTATGTGCTGTTTTAAAGATGGGATATGGATTTATTCTTTTCAGAATACGACGATAAATAGAATATCTGACAAAAAAGAATTTTACTTTTGAAACGTCTAGACATCGGCTCTTAAAGTGGAGGCAATTAATGGTTATTGCTGTGGTGAGCCTGCCTCGAATTTACAGTGTAGCTACCTTTTAAGACTTTAACACTGAAATGATAAGTTAATGTAAATATATATTTCTAGTCAAACATTTATCACAGATGTGGCAAAATTTATCACAACTTCAATTTGCTACATACGACGTGCAACTACCGAATTGCCTGGGGACAATTCTAGTGACACGCTTAAGCGTTTATCTTCATTTATTCAAAAACTTTTCATGTACCTTAAATGTCATTTGCCCCTTTTATTTTTGTATTTGTTCGACTCCACCTCTTAAAAGAGAGTTTCGTAGTTTATAACTAGACACTGCGCACAGGGTAGCCATTTTGGAGTATCATTTATAATCTTCTCAGTGAGATATTATTTTTCAGGAAAGATTTTTGAAGTGTGATCTACCATAAAAAAGAGTTAATTTACAAGTGAAAATAAAATGTAACGCAACCGTTGTATTCCTAGCTAGCATATCAATTTTGCTAACGTTTTAGGTGTATATGGATGAATGTGAAAAAATGTTACGCTCGTCGTTTTGACGCTATAAGCCTGTATGCGCTATATACCACACATTGTTTTGTTTTTGTACATAAATTGTGTGACTTCATTTGAAATATATTAAGACTATTTCAATCTTTTCAACTTTGAAACATGTTCGTCTTCGTGTATAGTGAATTATTCAAAATATCATTAATTGGAACATATACACTGTACCCAGTTACTGTAATATTTTACTGGTAATTGAGACTCAGTCAATCAGTGTTCATGGCATCCTCATGATGATGTATATGGTGAGATAATGGGAACATACCCATGTCAAATCAAAAGACCTTTGCTGAAATCCTCATTTCATCAGAGGTAACTGATTGATTAAGCCTTGTGATCAGTAGAAATATGTTATCGAGCATATGAGCTAGGCCACGGGAAAAGGGGTCTTATCACAGTTTCTTTTTCAATATTCTGATTTTTTGTTTATCTTAAAAAGCACAAAGAAACCTTTCAAATGAGCCATGGCTTATGTTTTAACAATTTTGCCTTGCATATATAGACCAACAAGTCGGATCTGAATTTAGCACATTTTCCTCTTAATCGTGGGTACATTTTTGGCTCTGTAGCACAATTTTAATTTTTCTGATGAGACCGGTGTCTGTGACACATATAATATGTAACTATCTCTGTGGATGCCTTCGGGGGAGGCGGTGCTCTTATGAAATAGTTAAAACGTGGCGCGTGAATGGCTAAAATAGTAAACCCATTTGATTTATTATCCGTTCAAGTACGACAAACAATTCATAGTGTAATTATAATTGATTGGACGTAAAATGAACATTCTTGCAAAAACATCTGATTGCACTCGTATCGTCTTCAGTTGATGAAACTATTTCTTATTTGCTTTTGCTTGTTCAGAAATGTACAAAATATTTTTTGTTCAGCAGAGATGATCTCTTCGATTGGCTTTAAATAGCTATAATCTCGGGTCTAATGCCTATCGTACTAAAGGAGTATACCGAAGGAGTGTGTATTGTCCCTTTCGTGCTATTTCATATCATATCTACGTCCATGAGGGCAATGTGTTGTGCACTATGGAGAGTGTTGACCGTCCGTTCGGTGATATTTATAGCTTGGGCATTAATGTGACATGTCCACGTCCACGAGACAATTGAGATTTCGAGCCATATGTCTCAAGAAAATGCTCTTACCTTTCTAGTAGGATGAGTTCAGGTGCCAAAAACAGCTGATCATCAAAGGATATATATCATTTTCTAATTGAAAATTTTTGTTGAACCCTGCATTTTAACACTGTTTTGACAGGAAGTCATACACCCAAAATGAAAACTGAATAACAAAATTTATCCCAAATGTAGATCATAATACTTACTCAGACATGCAAAATGTTGTTAATAGTAGTAATGCTGATAATTTTTAAGAAATTTAAGCATGTAAATAAGTTTTTTTCGTCCATGATTATATAAATAAAGAATTTCTTCCCTCAGAAAGCAATTTGGTACTGTGGTGTAGTGGTTAGAGCTTTGGACTCAACTAGACTTTTATTCAAAAAAATCTGGGTTCAAATCACATGGGTGGAATATGTTTCTATTCTTTAGTACCCCACACACAATTTTGTCGCCTACTTTAATGTGTTGTAGAAAAATATCCAATGAGAATTTTCTCATGAAATTTGGCATACATCAAATTGAAACAATTTGTGACACTCACATTTTTTTGTTTGAATTACAAAAACAATTTGAACATTCTGGTCAATCCTATCCTATTAAACACCATTATAATCCACAGGTAAAAGCAAAACTGAACCAAGCAGGAGTGACTGTTATAATGTTACAATGTTACCCCTGAAAGGTCACATGTTAAATGCATGTGAATCATTTCATGTTGTCCAACAAAAGGTAAGCGATCGGTGGCCACCTGTGAGTCATTGGACGAATATGGCCTCCCAATTGTAGGCCAACGAAATTTTGAACAGTGCAGAGTCACTGTTAATAATGCCTTAAATGACTGATACAAGCATTTTCTTGAGATACAAGCATTTTCTTGAGATTTTATGAGATGCGAGCTATTGGAAAAGATTTTCTAATCGAGTGAGAAAGTGGGAAATGCTGTAGTGGTAGGATGGGATAGAAATCCACGCAGGGATGTCTTTAAGTGCTCTGATAAACAATTTTAGACTTAAAGCCAACAAATCATATGATACATGCACCTACCCATGTGAGTATTAATAGGGGTCTTCACTCTTAAACAATAATAAAACCACATTTACAATATTCCTATTTAGGAGTTAAAACATCTCCAACACATAGTAACAATATATTAAGAGAACAGATAAACCATATGTAATGCAATAAGTTTGTAATCAAAATGATTTAAACTCTCCTTGAAACTGCAAAACTAGAAATTTTCGTCGAATTTTGTTAAAACATGAATATTTTTAAATTGCTTGTTTTTCGTCAATATTACTTAAATTTCCAAACGAAAAAATTTGAGTGTCACAAAATGTTTCAAGTTAAACTATGTCGAATCTCATAAGCAAACTCTTTTTGGATATTCTTCAACAATACATCAAAGTAGGCGACAAAATTGTGTGTGGGGTACTATATTTGTTTTTTGTTCAATTTGATCCACAATTTTTCTGAAATAAATTTTATATTTGGCACTTAAACCATATTTAGTATTTCCAAGGGTTTAAGTTTTTAAATGAAATCATTGAAAGTTACTTTAAATGCAATTTTCCCCAGTCCCAGTCATATGAACATTGAAATACATCATTTTTTCTATGAAATTTATTATGTAAATATATTTGTTTCCCATGCAGCATATGTTATCAGTTGTTAACTTCAATTCAACAAAAACCAATGTCCCAAGTATTTGGGTCCTAAATGGTTCTTTGTACTGAACACAAACCGATATATAGGTGACTGTATACAGTACATAGTACGATATGAATAACTTATTGAGGTTTGAAGACAGAATGCAAAAATGGTCATGCATTATAAACCCTAACACGAACATCATTACTTAGAACGAAAGAGGCGAAGACATGATGTAACATGAATTTAAAACATATCAATATCCGAGTCACTCGTATTGCTAACTTTGTTTTAATGCCGTTCCTTGCATATTCAAGGCTTCCATTTTATTGTCCAACATACTCTCTCGAACTGAGAACTTGTGTTCCATGTCATCACAGTTGATGCCAACCTGGAAAAAGAGAAATGTGTTATTCTTGCAACATCCTCAGAAAGCGGGGCTCATACACTATCAGGGACGTAGCCACCTTTCAGTCAGTTTCAAATTACGGTTTCCAGTCGGGGGGGGGGGGGCAAAAAAAGATTTATTTTGAATTTCACAACAATTGATGCAACTTCCTTCAAACTTGAACGAGAAGCTTCAGATGAAAATCATTTAGAGCCCTTTTCTTTTCATGGTCTTAATTTTATTGGTTATGGGGGGGGGGGCAATCGCACCCATCGCACCCCCCCCCCCCTGGCTACACCTATGCACTGTGTTCATTCTCCAGAACGGCCCCGGATGATGTTTGGGGCCATTTGTTTGGTTTCTTCAAGGATAAAGCACGGAATGGACAAGCTAAGGAATAACTGTAAATGAAAGGAAATTCAAATATTATGCCAAATGTTCGATTTCTGGTACAGCTTAGCGCTGATCAAATGATTTTTTCATGTTATCAACTCATAAAGATTAATATAAATGAAATATATTCAGCTAACTGCCAAGTTTTGCAACATAAGCGGTGATTTAATTTGTTCATAAGTGAAAGATATAATATGAAATACAAATATTCAAAGAAATGAAGATCTTTTCTATAGCAAGTTATATGAGAAAAATTCTGCATATCATTGCCATATGTGCCATATGTTTCATAACTATAGAAAGATTTTTAGGGTATTTATAAAATGAACGCCCTGTACATTACACGCAAGAAGTTGCAGAAATTTTTTAGAAAGTATCACTGTTTAATCAACCTCTTAGAATTAATATATATTTTGGAAATGCACCACTCACCATGGCCTCTCCGAGGTCTTCACTTAAGTTGGCTAATATTTTAGGATCCTTGTAATGTGTAACTGCCTCTGCCATTGCATCTGCACGCTTTTTGGGGTTGTTGCTTTTGAATATACCAGAGCCAACGAAGACTCCATCTACGCCAAGCTGCATCAATAAGGACACGTCAGCAGGGGTGGCTAGAATTTAAAGGAATGACAATGAGATTTATTTTTGTCTAACTCCCCATCTATACCCGCTTGGAGAGGGTCTCACGCAAACTTTTGAATGGTACATTACCACTGTTCACAAGCTTGCATATCTTGTATACAGCGATTATATAATAGCTGATGGTTGGTAACGTATTGGAAATTGCCCAAGGTACCGAATGTTTTGAAAGAGGACGTGATATTGATATTAGAATTCGTTTCCGACATGGAGATAACTCGATATGGTAATAACTTTAGGCGGTGTTTCCTGAAATTGTTATTTTTATACAATCTAATTGCTGGTTTTAAAGCTATTATAACCGATATGTTTGCTTATTACCTTATCCCCTCGGGTTAAACTCAGATTCAGGACAACATTGATTTAGTATTATTTTATTACATATGAAGTCACCCATTGTTGTTGCCACCACATTTCATATAATATTATTTTTTTCTGGTTAACTTAAATCATTTATATATTATACCCGTAATACAGAACATGAGCAAATAACAAAAGATGCAAATAGTCAAATTGGAAGCATTTGCATTTTCTCAATTATTATGTCGAGAATGAAAATGAAAATATTGAATATTGTAAAAATGTCACCAACTCGATAATTTAAGTAGTTTCAGCTTTCTTTTCATCCGTACCATACGTCACTTTTAACTACCAATTTACATTCTGAACACACCATAAATACATTACTATTCTATATACCATATACATTTTACACCATACACATTATTCTATATACCATATATATTACCATTCTATGAACTATACTATTCAATACTGTACATGTACATTACTATTCTCTATAATATACATTACTATTCTATATACCATACCTAGACCACCTGCTGCAAAGTTAACCACTGGCAATCGTCCAAGTTCAGCTGTCTTCTTCAAAAGTTCATATGGAACCTGAAGTTGTTTGGCATATGAAAAGAGTTCACTGTCATCCATTCCCTTCGCTAGAGATATGTCCCGCTTGATTGTTCTAGCGTGCCTTACAGCTTCTATCACATTGCCTTCAAAAATGAAAATAATATTAAATCAATGATTTTTGATGTCTCAAGGAATAGGTCCTTTTCATGGTTGTTGTGAGAACGACAGGGTGACTGGCAGAAGTGTGATAATACATGCCTAGCTAAATGTAAATTTTCTACACGGTGTGTACATGTAATATCATGTTGCTTCATTTGGTTCCGATGAGATAAAGTAAAAGTGAAAATTATGATTCATCATCGGACATTGTACTCGAGCTTAACATAACTTACGGTTTCCATTTAGAGAGGAAATGTGAAATATGCTCTTATCCCGAGGAAATAATTAAATCAAAATTATTTTTGATTATTTCCTATGTGAACTAAATTATAAGATCACGTTATTATGAACTCATATAAATATCTGCCGAAGCGCAGAATAGATGGCAGCATCGATCAAAGTGACTATGTACATGTACACATGACTTACACAATACAATACAATACAATACAATACAATACAACACAATACGATACAATTAATACAATAATTACTTGCCAATATAATAATAAATTACATATGTCGGGTGCTGTAAATGTCTCGGTCACATTGTAACATTACCTGTGCCTGCCTCCCCTTTGGTACGAATCATGGCTGCACCCTCCGAGATCCTCCTGAGCGCCTCTCCAAGGTTCCTGGCTCCACAGACAAACGGTACAGTGAAGTCTCGTTTGTTAATGTGGTTTTCAGGATCGGCTGGGGTTAGCACTGCAAATTAGAATAATGATAATTGTGAAATTAGATGATATTCAACCCCTGTTTCAAAAACAGACAATTATGTCATCTTAAAGATTTGAAAAGTCACTCGACGGAACGCGGACTGTTCGTTTTGCTACTCAATTAAATTTTGTTTTCGGTAGGTACAGATCTGAAGATTGCTATATGCAGAGATGTATTTTGAGCATGTTGGATCAGGTTGGCTTGGTCCGTCCGTTTGTCCGTCTTTCCGCAAACATCTTTATATTGTTGGTATTGTTGGTGAGTTTTCATGTTCGAATCGTAATATAGACCTTAGAGTAGGTGTAGTATCGACGAATACACCCCTTAGTTCGTTCGGGGTACAGAAAACGCTTGTGCCTAGGCCTGCGGGGTGTATTCTTTGGTCTATATTTCTTAAATATCACTGTAACTAAATTAAAAAAATAACACCAGTTCCCAATTCTGCACTAAATTAAATTATGTAGATTGAATCGTGATTATTCAACGGGAAGTTCAATATCGAAAATATAAATCGACTCAATAAACTTGTGTCTATTCATTTTGGCACATTTACCACGTGTTTAAACAACTGGTTAGAACTAAAATAGTTCTCAAAAGCTGTATACTACAGACAGGATGTGGCACGTCTATGATTTTAAGACGTCTCGATAACTATCTCCTTTTCAAGAAGACTACACGACATGTGGAACTGTTCAAACAAACATGGCGGAAGTTCAGCATGTAAATATCACCAAGTATGGCTTCCATTAAGTTATCTATAGTATCAGACGATCAATCAAAATGTTATCATGTCAGTATTGAATAGACCAAAGATAAAGAAAAGACTAGAAAAGACATAATGTCTTCAATAGCCAAGGACATACTGTATTGGAAAGGTATTTTAAATAATCTAGGTCTTGGAGGGTGGGAGCTAGAGGGGGCTCAGACTGATGACGAACATGAATGGCAACTTTGAAATAAATAAAATCATAGTTATCAGTGAAATAAGGCATAAAGGGTATCAATCTTTTGAAACTCATTAAAGTGGACTGAGTGGAGGATGCCATTTCATGCCAGAAGGCGATTTATCTCGATGAGGTTCAAGTTTTATTGGAATATTTACATGTCTTGCAACATAATAAGAAAAAAAGAAAAGCCGTTAATTCCTTTGGCCATTGATGCAAGTCACGGGGCCTATTGATTGTATAACACATCTCAGAGGAAACTCAATTCCTTGACTGATAATTGTCGTTGTACTTACCGGTTCTTTCTGGTTTACAACTACAACCTTCAGTGGCGGATCCAGGAACCAACAAGGGTGGAGGGCAAATTTTCGGTCAGAGAAAAAAACTTCCGCGGAAAATTTTTTTGGGTCCCTAAAACCGAAAAGTGGGCCCAAATTTTGAAATGTTGAGGCCCATTTTCTTAAAAAATAGTAATGACCATTTTTTGGGGCCTTAAGCCTTTTATGGCCCAACTTTTTTTGGGCCCATTTATTTTTCTGGGCCCAACTTAGGGGGGGGGGGGGGGGGGGCGGGCCCCATGGCTCCCCAGGATCCGCCACTGACCTTTGCAGATTGAGCCTATAAAGATCACAGCTCGGTGCGGAGAAAGAGCCCTCGACGCGGAGTAATATTTACCGTGATGGAACTTTTTAAACATGTCATGAAAACGGATTTTTTTAACAAAATTGCACAGGCTGAAATACGAGTTTCCACGATTTCACGAGTTGTAGGCAGAATCCGTATGATCTTTTTGGCATAAACTTGTGTCAGCATCATATGTTTCAGATTCTAGGCTGTTGCAAACAAAGACGCCAGAATGATCGAAACAATTATTCACTATTGCTACATAAACGGAACGGTTAAAGGTGCGATGCTAACCGTTTGAAATATCCGTGTGCGCTTGAATAACAAAAGTGAGAAAATATACGCACAAAATTGTTAAAGGCCCCATATAAAGTTTAAACCACTTTGGCTTATATTGCAGTCTTACCCAATGTTATCAAAGTGTAATATGTGAAACTTTTTTTTTAAATTTCAAAAAGTGGTTTTTGATAAACTTTTTGTTCCAAAATTTGTGAATTTATTTAAAACCAACTTCTAGAGGTCACTCATATCTTTTAATTAGCCACAATTCAGACCAATGCATAGCATCCAACCTTCCATGTTTTTTGCCGAAAGAAATAAGAAAATCGGTTCATAAATAATGGCGGGAAATTTGAATATTTGAGAAATGAAATGCTCACAACATTTTTTTGTTCAAAAATCTCTAAAATCACTTTTTAAGTCCTGACAAATAGTAAATGAATGATAAAAAAATATTTTCAAACTTTAGACGGGGACTTTAAGGCTTCAAACGTATTTAACGTAACAAACCTTCTGATTCGTCCACCATATCGACTCCCAATGATTGCAATATCTGCGCCTCAGCAAAGTGACCAATCCTAGCCTTGGCCATCACTGGGATTGTAACTGCCTCCATTATTTCTTTAACTTTCTAAACAGTGATAGACGCATTTTGTTACATATTTCTGCAATATTTTTTGTAAATCTCCAAGTTGTTTTAATTTTTATTATTGTTTAGCACACCATTCAATTCATTTATCTATAGTGAATCAGAATAAGTAATATGCACATTGAGTTGCAGCTCAAATGTACTGAAAACAATTTTATAGACAGATCTCTTAAAAAGAGAGTTGATTCAATTAAAAAGAGAGTTCAATATTGAGGTCAATAAATGTTATCTTACTCTCGGGTCACACATTCTTGCCACACCCCCGTCTTTGCGTATGTCTGCTGGTACTCTCTCTAGGGCCATAACTGCGCATGCCTAGAAACAGAAGAAAAATATAGGAGTTTCTTTATAGCTTTGAAATCTCCCGATTGATTAGGTCTCGGATGCTCTCGGATGCTGATATTCTGAAAGTGTTTTTCAGTTCTACAATTAAATATTTTAACCACTCGGAGACTGATTAAATTAGGCAGTTTAACCTTATAAGTTTATGCAATCTTATGACGAATTGGAGACTAAATTAGGCAGTTGACCTTATAAGGTTAAGAAATGTTATGATGAATATGAGACTGACTTTTAATTGGGCAGTACTAGTTGACCTTGTAGGATTATGAAATGTCGCGAATCAGAGATTGGGTATTAGATTATACAGTTGACATCGTAGAGTTATGAAATGTGTTTGTGTTACTTGTTCTTTGGGAAGCAGGATTTCAAATTCTTAAATGCATTCATTTGTTCGATTTTGATACTTAAAACTGAGTAATGAAACTCACCCCGGCGTCCTCTGCAATTTTAGCCTGTTCGGCATTGACAACATCCATTACGATGCCACCCTTTGCCATCTGAGCTAGGCCGGACTTCACTGCAAACGTTCCTGTAAGAATTAAACAATGCTATAACCCTAAAATCAATAGAAAGTTTACGTCACGTGACATGACGTGTGTGGTTGAAACAATTTGCCGCGAAATACGGTTTTGTAGATAAAAATGAAACCCTGGCTTTTAAAATCGAGTAATTCGCTCTTACGTTGAGCCAATTATTGCATGATAGAGGCTATTCTCATCAATTTTGCAAAGGGTATAATATCACTTGTAACTGAGTGCGAAATCAATCGAGCTACGCCATTGAAAGCATGTCATTTATGGAACAGCAAACATTGCCAGTGTTTTGGGGATTAAAACGTGTTAACCCGGATGTAATTCTGTAAGGCCAAAATATAATTATCCGGTTAACATTTTCAGTTATCGATATACGGTTTCACAAATGCATTTCAATCAATTCCTTGTATATGTAGTGAATAATATTGCAGTGCTCTTTCCTCAAGCATTTATTTTTGTGATGTTCAATCAATCAATTCAAATTAATTATTTGGCTATTGGAATGCTTGCGAATGTGGAACTAATGTATATTTCTACTTTGGTTCAGCCTTCGTATTAGTTTGCATCAACAACTTTTCGATTGAGCCCCAGAATAACTTTGCAGACCGTACGTCATGGTCAGGTGACCTCAAAAAGTGCGCGAAAATAACAACATTTCTAAGGTTGACAGTCTTTATAAATCATGCTGTGTGGGGAAATATCACAAGCTGTGTGGTCAAAATAACAAAAGGGATGCTATTTGTGCTAAAAACAAGATAATAAGAGATTCTTTAATTGGTTTTAGTACTACTTTAATTACATGAGTCACAACTTTATTGATATTATTACAAAAAAGTCTATCACTTTATGGTGCAGGCCATTATAAAAGCAGTTGATGGCTACTATATTTTTATTCTAGCGAATAAGCACTTATTTTACTGATTATGAAAGTAATGGTTAGGGATGTGTTTTATCAATTATATTATTAATGAAACACTATCGATGAGAGTCTCAGTTACTTCTTAGAATTACAAGGGTGTCCCAGAACTCATGAGAATTTTTTGAGGGAGATATAAGGCATTAATGATTTTATTTCATATAAGTGCACTTAATAAACAAACATTGAGGAATAAGTGACATGAATTTCAGGCACATATCTTTTATATTTCCGAATTTATTGACATTTGAATTCTACATCGCCACAAACCCCGGAGTAGAAATACAGCAATTTACGTCACATTTTGCATCTGCAGTTGATGTCTTTTCAGCTACTCTTTATACATATTACCAAATCGTTCTAAAGGGTCCTCTGAAACAACATGACTCAATTCTTCCTCCGTTTCAGTGACATGCCCCACTCATTTTTGTTTAAGGTCCCCAAAGAAATGAAGTCTAGTAGAGCAAAATCTGGCAAAAATATGGAGCTACTATATTCTGTAAAGTCTCAATAGAAAGTAAATTGGATGCACTACTGACATGCATGTAATGACTTGTCCACTAGTGCATTGTCAAAATGCAAGATCATATTGGCTATCAAATGGGGACGTTTCTAACAGTCCCTCAGGAACATGTCATTATGATTTTTCAGCAAACCAAATGTACAATCCGTTGATGTATTGGGTCTCTATCAAAATTTATATATCGTTTTATCAAAGTGCACCATCAATATGAGAAAAATGCTCAACTAAGCTTATACAAAAGACGTTGGTTTCATATTTGAGAATTTGTATAAAATTGACAAAATGTGACATAAACTGTCGTATTTTACCGACAACTCCGGGGTTTGTGGCGATGTAGAATTTAAATGTCAATAAATTCAGAAATATAAAAGATATGTGCCTGCAATTCATGTCAGTTATTCCCCAAAGTGTGTTTAATAAGTGTACCAAATTTGAAAAAAATCATCAATGCCTTATATCCCCCTGCCCCTGGGACAACCTGTAGAAAGCGCTAAAACTGTGTTTGATTATAGATAAACATTGATTCAGTTATATTAGAATAATTGGAACATTGATTTGATATTGAAATACGCAAAATACATACCATTTGTAACTCCTGGTAAAATAGGCATTTTCTTATTCAGTTTCTGTATTGTTAATATTCGCTTCTACTTCTTCCGTTTGCTCAATCCAAGTTAGATTCGCGTTTCCCTAATTTGGCACCCTTACAACTCACAAGAATTCACTTAAAAAATAGTAAAGTCATTCAGAGGACATACATCCGACTTCCCTATGACAAGCGTATTTATATTACAATTGTTATATGTGTCTGTCTTTGATATCTGGTGTGAATATTCTAGTTACAAAATATAGGTTACTTAATATTCCACGTTACAAACAGGGTTTAAATTATTGCCAAAAGTACCAAAATGTGTGTATTTCCTACATGGAATTTGACATCTGTTTGAAGGGTGATAGTCCTACATCGAGTTCAGAAAATTGACATCTGTTTAGGTGATAGTGCAATCGTAAGATAACCAGAATGTGTTAAGGTAATAAAGGGTGATGTTTACGAATTTATTACGAAAGTTAAAATTAGGGTTTCGTCATCTGAGGCCAGTATGTAAGTCCTTGGTAAAATCTAGAAACATCGACTTATCATATTGAGAATTACAATATTATCAACCACAACGATTAGAAAATCAGTGAACAAACATTTTTAGTATTTTCTAGTATGTAATGAACTTACCAACACAGAGGAATGATATAGGACGCCTAAACTAGCTGTAAACAAATAAAGGATACAACGCACATTTTATTGCCAGAAAAATCCAAGCAGTTTGCAGGGAAAGTTAAATTTTTGCAGTGCATTACAAAATAAGTACAAACAGATTTTTAAAACGCATCCTATTATGAACATGCTCAAAGTTGGTGTACTTGCGTTCCAAGGGGCTTTCAGTGAACATGAACAAGCATTAGAGAAAGCATTTCAGACAATGAATAATACTGAGACGGATTCTGAGCTAAGTCTCCAAATAACTGAAGTACGTGTTCCGTCTCATTTGGACGGTTTGGACGGCCTTATCATTCCCGGGGGTGAAAGCACTACCATGTCGATATTCCTAAACAAAAACAACTTTAAGCAGAAATTGAGATCGATGATTGAAGGTATTTGATGTTTTCAGATCATTTTCTACATGTGTAGCTCCTTCCTATGAATATATCAGTTAGATGTGGGGAGGGAACATTCAATTTGGAGGGTCGGCTAAAAATGTCCAAAAAAGTGTATGGTAGTACGACGTCATATTTTAGGCCGATTCTAAGAAAGTGGACTTTGAAAGTATGGCTTCCGATTTCTGAAACATAGTCTGGCAAAATGTTTTCCAATAAGATGTGATACCTACGCTGGATTTTTAAAAAAATCTTGTCAGGTGAAAGGTCTTGTGTTTTAGGTGTTAATGGAAGAAGGACGATTGTCTGGGGAACTTGCGCTGGGCAGATACTTTTATCAAACACAGTTCTTTGTCAAAAAACGGGAAGCCAGCAAATGGTTAGTAAAGGAAAATAAATTATACATCCATATACATGTAACATGTTTTGTGGCTTTTCTTGATGGCCACACTAAAAAGAAAACAGGTAATCCAATTCGCTGAAAGATTCTTAATCCCCCACCATAGTTTCAACAATATTTATTACTAACACTTAAAAACGCACACACTTTCACATTTCTCTATTTTGTTAAATGAATATTCCACTCAGATATTTAACATTTCTACCATATTTCTACGCTCACCGTAATATCAATTCGATTTTGAGTGTATTCACACCTTCTATAAGCTGTGAACAAAGTCAACGTTTCACCCGGTATGTATTCGTCGACACTGCACCTGGTAATTCGAGTAATATGTGACGTCATAACGGGAGGCCGTAGTAATGGCGGGCCTTAATGAATTTTCGAAAATATTTTGTGAGTTTCCATGTTCGAATCGTAATATAGACCCCAGAGCATGTGATGTAACGACGAATACATAGCTTTGGCTAGGCTCAAAAGCTTTCGAACCCCTCACTTCCTTAAGATCGTTCAGGGTTCAAAAACTAAAAAAAATGTATTCTTCGATATCGACTCCTGCTCTTCGGTCTTTATTTCTTAAATGAAAAGGGGATCGCAGAAATGAACAAATATTATCAGAGCATGGACTTTCAAGAGTCTCTTGAAAACCTGTGTTCCGAGTTATTATTTCTACGGCTACCTTACGGTCTGTAAAAAAACGAATACAGCGTACGGATACCGCAATGCGACAGTAGTTTTTGATCTGCGGTCGACGTACGGTCAACGTACGGTCGCCGTCCGACAAATGTGACTTCGGTGCTACCATAACAGCCTTTACTACATTATGATGCGGGGCCGTGTATTTTTGTATAACCGCGGAGCAAGTGAATTTTATACGGTTGCATAATATATTTGTTGTACATAAAGATATAACAAATCAATTGAGCTTGAAGCCACGCCTAACCATCGTTACAGTGACAAAATATACCGTTGTACACTTTCGATGTACGTTGTCACTATTCTAACTGATATGAAGCAAAAACTATGCAGCAAGTGTGATGTAGGTTTTAAAGATTAATCTTAGGAATACATAAAGAATTTCATTTCATTTTCCATTTTCAAAAAATCATTAAATGTATCATCAATTTTCGACTTATTGTAATTGAGGAAAAAAATTGAGAAAATTTAGAGGTATTGGAAATAAAGTCAAATTACGTTTCCGTCAGTAGGATAAGTATTTTCATCGCAAAAATTCAAAGGTAAAGAGGCTTTAACACGTACTTCAATGGGGGAGTTAATGTTGCCAAACTTATGGAGGGGAGTGTACGTTGTCCCATTGAACTTACATATCGGAATTCAGAGTTAACCTTAATGTAGACTAGAAAACGTATTTATCATATAATGGACAAGGGGATTAATTAGATTCATTTAAAACTGAAACTGAACAGTATTATTTAAACTTTGAACTATTGAACCTCCGCACTTGCGTGATATTATAGCAATATTCAAGATTTTATTGTGTTTCAAGCCAAAACAATTGACTTCCTCACAAAATCCATTACAAGACATAATTATACAGTTATACAGTAAAATATTTAAATATAACTATCTTACAAACTAGTTTATTCCTTTTTCAAAAAGCTCCCGACGTTGATTGAAAAGTTTATTTATAAATATATCAATTCGTTTACAATTTCATAATCATCATCAAAATTGACAAATTCTGTCTTTTACTTCAAGTCGGTTCTGTTTAGTGCCATCTTTTTTCTTTCTCTCGTGTCTCCCCGTTTCAATTCTTAAATTATGGTTTGCTATAATTTTCAAGTGAAACATAGACCAAAATTCACTTCCGTATAATAATACAGGTTTAACAAACATGTCAAATCTACATTGATATAGTTGAAAACTTAAAATGTTGTCTCATCATAAAAATAACTTTCAATGCATTCTTACTTAATTACGATATTCCATATTTCATAAAAGTGTTATAGCATAAACGGCATTTTAAAAAGTCATCTTCGACAAGCATGTGTAGATCTCTCTATCAACTTCTTAAGATTATTAAAATACATAAAAGTGTATTTTATTACGTTAAAGTACAGATTCCAAATGATCAAGAGGTTGGAGGCTAAACTTATACCCAATACATAATATTAATCAAATCTTCACTCATCCTAAATTGTGTAGTTTAGAGAAACATATTCTCATAAAAATAATCGACATTCTTAGGTGACAGGGGGAAAAATGATCAAAGGAAATGTCGAAAAACCCAACATTTCCCACCGATCAATTTTTGTGGATTAACTACGAAAAAATCGAGCATTGCTCGAAAATCTTTTAACGTAATCAGAAAGCTAAAAGTCTTCCAAAACGAATACACACGAAATTAAACATGAAATCTTTCAAGTATTCCCCATATTATTTTTAAAAACCTACATCACACCTGCATCATAGTTTTTGCTTCAAATCAGTTAATCACTGGTGATCCACTCGATTACGCTGGTTACCAAAACGGTTCGTTTTGGTAACAAAATGTCGGAACATCCGGAAGGTACGATTTTTCTCGTTTCCTTATTTTACACGTTGCAGGCAGAATTCCCACGACATTTTTTAACACAAACGTGTATCAGTATCATATGTTTAAGAAAGTGTACATATTTGCGAACAAATAGTCCAGAAGACAACAGAGTCGTCGATTTACTTCCTCACTTAAGTTACATAAACGGTTTGGGTTAAAAGTGCAGATCTTAACTGTTTTTCGAAAAACCGTTTATGTAACTTAAGTGAGGAAGTAAATCGACGATTCTGTTGTCCTCTGAGCTATTTTTTCGCAAACATGTACATTTTCTAAAACATATGATACTGATGCACGTTGTGAGAAAAAACGTCGTAGGGATTCTGCCTACAACGCGTGAAATAAGGAAAAAAGAAAAATCGTGCCTTCGACGCTCCGACATTTTGTTACCAAAACGGTTCGTTTTGGTAACCAGCGTAATCGAGTGGATCACCAGTGTTAATAGTGACACCGTGCATCTAAAGTGTACAACGGTATATTTCGTCACTGTACCTTGTCGATGGTTAGGCGTGGAAGCGCTGGTTTAAAAAATATAATTCAGATGATAGAGTTCAAAATTTGCAATCGTCAAATCCTGCTCGCAGTGAAAACATCTTGTACAAAATTGCAGCCCAAATGTCATGATGAACTTAAGCAGAGAACTACAATAACATAAAGTTATAACAAATCGATTGAGCTTGAAGCACTGGATAAAAAATATGATTTAGATGATAAAGTTCAAAATTCTGTCAATAGGCGTCTAGAACTGCAAATATCTGAGATTGGGGTTGAGCCTTCTCTGTGCATAAATCATGTTAGCACTCAACTTTATTTATTCTCCAGATAGGTGGCGTTGATATTACTACATCAAGGAATACTTACGGCAGACAATGTGAGAGTTTTGAGTCAGAGATCTCAACACATCACGAAGATCTTCAACAAGATGGTCAGTGTCTAGATTATTTTGAGTTTGATTTAACCCCCTCTCGCCTGTTAACATGTACATTAATAAAACAAACATTCAATCAACATTTTATATCGAGCACTTCTAAATTTAAACATTAGGTAAGTGCATTTAGTTCATTGTTCATTGTAATTGCCGGGTAAAAGAAAGTCGATGCAAGAGATCGTTGGAACCCATTTCCTAGTTACATACTAACACATGAATACCATTAATTCGAAGAACTGCTATTAGTGAAGAATGGAAGGGAGATTTCAAAATATAAAACGACAATTTGAGAAGATAGAGAATAAATACAGAGTTTAAAAAAATAAAATTGTGATTTGGACAGCTCGAAAAGGTCGTAAGAAAACTATTTTTCAAAGACACTTTTGAAGAAATATACGCCTTAATATGTTTCCAATACAATAAGATGGGTGTCTTGGTCGCAATACATCCGTGTCTTCGTATCATTTATCATAATACCAGTACAGATTACGAAGTTAACATTACACATTTCCAAATTAAAAATCATGTTAAAGAGACACATTGGTTTGGCAACAAACTCGATGAATACTATATTTATTCATAACTTAGATTCCAATCTGAATTGTGCATTCGTTCATTTACTAATTTACCCTATATAAACAAGAGTTTAAGCCACAGGTCGATTTTATGTAGCAAGTAAAACAAAAATGAACAAATCAAGAAAATAGAATGCAAACAATTGATATCATGCATCTACAGTAACTCAATTTGGTATCGAACATTATGTTTAATTGTTTTTAACGATGTAGCTAAAATTTAGACTGGGTGTACTCTTCGTCTTAACCTAGAAACCGGCAATCTTATAATAAGGCCTACCTCGTCTACAGCGATAATGTGAAACGTGTTAAAATGAATGAAAAAGAAACTGTCGTGTTATGAAAGAGCGCTCTATTCATCTAGACTTGAGAAAATATGTTGTTAAACCACTTTTATAGGCCATTATTCAATTATGACTTATTGATTCAGGTTCTTTTAGTTCAGAATTATATCAAATAAACAGCAAAATATAAACTATCAGCTCTAGAAAAACTGATTGTATAATATCACACACGTAAATCATTTTAGGCTCGGTGCCTATTTTGTTGCATGGCACTTTTATATTATGTAGTTTTATTCACCATCTTAAAGATGAGTACATGTATATAATAAATATGTTGAAAAAATAAAAAGTAGAAAATATGTGAAAATACTGCAAGTGACAGGTATCGCCTTTTGTACAGGGAAATAAAAATGGTTTCATGTAAGTAATTAGGTAATTTCAAATTGAAATACATGTGTATGGAATGAAATTCTGTGATGATGATCAAAATATATTTTTGGATAAATTCATTTTTTTACTGTAATCCACTTTACTTTATATTATCTGCAGGCGTCTCGGTGTGCAGAGGAATTTTTATAAGAGCACCTGGTGTGGTTTCCATTGACGACTCATCTGTAATTACCTTAGCAACCATTGGAGATGAAAACACGGGAAACAAAAGGTACGATACACCAATGGTTAAATAAAGTCCCCAATACCATGGCTTGAAATAATAGGTCAACATGTGATCGCTCCATAGTTTTCTGCCAAAACGATTTTGCCGTGTACCAATCGAAACGAGCCAAAATATCAAAATTTCCCTTGGATGATGGCTGTCATAAATATATCACAATTCTAAACATAGACTGTTTCTTCGCATATGTCAGTATCTAATTAACTCTTATTTTTGTCGCTGCCCATTGTTCTATGACTTCTTTGATCACTTTTGGTTTCTCGCACTGAACGAAATGTTTGGAGGTGGAGCTCATTATAACCGGCGTCTGGTTTTCTTTTCAGAATCGTTGCAGTTCAACAAGGGAACATCATGACCACATCATTTCACCCAGAACTCACAGAGGACACCCGTTGGCACACTTTCTTTCTAGATCAAATTTTAAAACTTAGAACAACGTCTCAGTCTTGCGCACGATCCAATGAAAACATCATTTAAATTGACCCGGTTGTTTAGTCAGACCATGCGTTAGAGTTATAGCATTTCGTGTGGTTTGGACAATGGATTGTCTAACTATAAAGGATAGGTTACACTTAAGTGTTCTGCGTTGGTGTGGGATAATTCCACGGAGAAATAGACCAATAGATAAAATAGCCAAATAAATGGCGTACAGTGTATATACTCCTTCGAGACAGATTAAACATTATCGGAATATGTATTGGAATATCCTGTGTGCATGCGCGAAATAAAAGTAAAAGTTTTGAAACATATCCAATATCGTTATGTTGAATCATCATAGCAGAGGACGAAACATCTGAAAGGCCCTTTCATATAGTTTTATCACCTCTCAAAATCAATTGGTCCAATCAGTTCACATTACCAGTTGAAAGTTCGATCACATTAAAAGTCCCGGATATCCTTTTCTTTAAAGGGGCAACACGGCCTGTAAAGAGAAAATTCGAAAATTATCACTTTTTCTGAGCTATCAGGACAACATTTGACTTAACATCTTCTTTGTCATACCTGTTTTGTTAACATGTATGGATAAACTATTAATTTCAGCATTAAGAGGAGTGAATTCAGCTCAAAGCTTCTTATAGATTTTTAAGATCCACCACGTTTCAAGAGGAATATTAGCTGAAATAATGTTCATCCAGGAGGTTTCTTTTGAGATAATAAAACTACATGTAACCCTACTATCACACCAAACTAGTTCTCACTACGTTCTCGAAAACGGGCTTAAACTGTGCACGAACGGATTTGACGTACTAAGAACCCACTAACTGTAAGAACCGTTTGGGATCTGTTTACAAACTTCATGAAACTACTAGAACGAGTAGGTCATCCAGCACTCAGAGCATGCTCAAAATGTTCTGGTGATCGTCAAAACGTTGCCGAATCGGTTTTAAACTGTGTGCGAACTGAATGAACGTAGCTACAACGTTCTACGGTCTGTTTACGAACTCCATGGACTTTCCCGGACGGGGTATGTGATTTAGAATTTTGAATCGATTCAAAATTCGATGGCGACCATACCGTTCTGTAATCAGGTCATGATGACCTTCTAGACTAAGGGGCGGTGTATTCTACGTTGCACACCGACGTGGTGCGACCTGAACGAATTGCGAATGAGATGGACGTATTGAAGACTGTTTATGAACGAAGTAGCTAATTATTTTAGACATTATATCCCGACCGCAGCCAGACTGAGCCCGTTTTACGACATTTTCGTAGGACTGGCAAGAACGGGTAAGAACTAGTTTGGTGTGATAGGGGGGTTAGTCTTGATGAAATATCCAAACTTAAATATGTTTTGACACTGGTCCATGATCTTAGAATCGATCTGTACTAATTGTGGCACCTTTAAATTCTCCGGATGTTCTATGTGAGTACCTGAATGCGTCCTGATGAATCGTATGATATTTCATCTCATATAAAACAACAGGGAGGTTGAATAACACGTTTAAGAGAAACTGCACATGTACGTGAGCGTGTAATATTTCGACCCCCGGGATTACTGTCCCGCTCTAAATTCACTAAATACAAGGGACCTAATCGCAATTGTATCCCGTATACCTAGTTTATACTCAATCGGCCAAGTATACACTATAATGGGAGAACTAATTCATAGAGTACCACAATTCTACACGTTCTCGTACAGGTTTCTTTTAAATATTTGCCGGCATCAATATGATATGTTATTTCATCCTCAAGACAGTTATGCAATGTTTTGTAGTAAATCTGTACGGTTACTAGTATTCGACCGTTGAACTGAAATTAAAACAGACTAGTCCATTTGTCATTTTCCGAACGTATAAATATTTAAAAGTATGATGTTTTTCTGTGTAAATACTATCATTAGGGATTATTGGAGTGATTTAGCTGGGTTGCCAAAAAAATAACTTTGGGGAAAATTTTTGTATCTATTACCATGGTAACATACCAGGTATATGGTGGTATCCAAACGCTAAGTCAATAGTCAACGCCATGTTAAGCGATTGCGACCCTCCCTAATCAGCCTATATCATTTTTTCCCCAAACAAAATTTTTGGGCAACCCAGTTAAATCACTTCAGAAACCCCTTATTATCATAAATCGACCATAAAACATCGTACTTTTAACAATTTCTAGGTTCACTATTGGATGTATAGGGGTGACAAATGGACTAGACTCAATTGATTAAAGATATAATGTGTCTTAGGTTTCCCCCGAACAATAAGTGGTGTCTCATTATAATTGCTTTATAGTATCATGCATAACTTAGATGTATCTTGAGACCTATTCCAGGACACAGTATTGCCTATATATTGAGAAAATCACTACAACCAACAGTCAGAAAATAACGTAATTTTAGATTTTATAAACGAAAATAACTCTTTTAATGGACTATTCGGTATGTAATAATAATAGTTATCATGTTCAATTTTGAAGAATCACTAAGCCTTAACTTAAAGCCAGTGCCTTGTACACGTTGTATGTTTTATAGTGAAACACATGAAGTAGGACAGTAGACATACACGATTAAATACAACATTTTTTCTGTGGATTTATTTAAAGTCTAAGTAGTTTACGTTCCCTTTATACGTACCATTCATTTCTTTCCATTTTCGTTGAATCTAAATGGATTTAACGTGTAACAATCACAAAAGTAAATGGGCCATTTTTCTCCACAAAGCCGTAAGAGGATTAACGATTGTCGATGCTTTAATTCAAGGCCTAGGTGTTTGACCATGGATACCATCCAACGAGTCAAAGCCAGAAAATGTAGAGTGAAAACAGTTTAAAGGATAGTTAATTGCGAAAAATGGTGTGGGATCGAACTCTGACCGAATTTCCAAAAGGTAGGCCTGGAGCAGCGCCCTATTGCGTATTGTTTTAAAATGCAATAGTTGGACGGCATACGACAACGAAAGAGGTTTAGATATAACACTTGAACTATACCAATAAATTATTGTAGTATGTTTGGCGTTTTTGGTGAACAAATATTATAAATATATGATACGTCTATTAAATATTAATGCAAACTAATGGGTGGTATTGGTGATGGTGTTTCTATGGTAACTGGCAAGTTCTTGTCAATGCTTACATGTATGTGTATTTACATTATAGTGTATAGCATTGCATTATATAGCCCCAATGCTCTGTTTGGTAGCATTATTAACTAGGGCCACAATGTGTATTACCTATTATGAAAAGCGAATATTAAGATATTACAGAAACAGACAGTTCAGAATGAGAAGAAAAACGTTGCTTAGATTTTCAATACTGGATCCAGAATTGAAAAAATTACTGACACCATTTGATTAAAGCATGTTTACAAAACACATATTACTTACTTACCTTACTTACCATGATATCAGTATTTATAATTGGCCCTATTGATCGATCGTTACAGAACAATAGCTGAAAACCAACAACAAAATGACCAATGTTTGCATTAGAAACAATAAAAATACCCTCTACATTCCTAATCAAGGCAAACCCGGTGGCTTTCATCTTTGTTTACATTCAGATTTTTCTTGCTTACGCTACGATAACGTTATTTTTTACTTTTGCAGGCTCTTGTTGAAATCGAAAATGCCTCCCGGTTGGGCCAATGTCCGATTGAAGTCGAGAGAATCTCCAGTAAACAATATGCAAAACTCGGACAGCTCGAAGCTTCTTTCCATCTTAAGTACCAAATCAAGCAAAAAACAGGGATTTTTCCCATCGATAGATCCAGACGTTGTAAAATGGAAACAGGACATACGATATAAGGCTGCTAAAACCGTCATATCAACATCAACAACGATAAACCATCTCCCTCGGGATATTCCAATTGACGTCTTGGAACAATATAATAACAGAATACATGGTGCTGACAAAATATTCAATCTGCCTAAGGTTACAATGAACTATAGAGTCTCTCATAAGAAAGCAGAGAGTCAGTTTATACTTAAGGACAATTCCGCTTACACAATAACAAAGCCCGCAGCATTCGGGGGCATTAGTTCCGCAAGTAATATGAGCAAACCAAGTTTGGCCATCAGCCAAGATAGGATGGTCGTGGCGAACATGCCTGATACCCTAAAACTTGTAAAAGACCACAGTCTCGTGTATGTATACCCAGGCAATGCAGGACCTGGCAACGAGGAGACATCTACATTTCGATTCCCCACACTTGAAGATGCAATCAAAGCTCAAGAACAGAAACGCTTGGACAAGATGCATCTTAAACAACTACAGATTACGCGTAAAAAGGAACTGACACTCCCCGATTTAAAGCTACACAAAGATAACTCAATATTTAGACCAGATCGAATGAATAACAACTTACCAACTATCAAACATCCAGATCATACAACTAACGTCCCAGATCGAAATTTAACTTTAGTTCCCGAAATTAAGTCCCCAATACCAGAAAATGAGTCATCAAATGTAGAACATAGAAGCGAAACGATGGCAACTATAAATCTAGGAGATAATACTCCTCTGAGAGATATCAAGGACAATGTACTGAGACAGAGAGCACTGACTAAAAATATCGCCCAAAAACTTGCCAATAGTTCTAACTCACCTGGTATAACAGTTCAAGAGCACACACGAGGAAAGGTGAAATTACACATTAAACAAAATATAAGTAAAAGAGTTGAACCCATTGATCATTCTAATTCTAAGGAAAATCCCAACCAACCGACGCTTACTGTGTGCTTATCTAAGCCTTTTGTTGAACCGAAACTCATTCCTAAACCAAGGTCCAAACCAAGGCTAAATCCGATCCAAGACCACATAACAATAGTAAGAGCGAACATTGAAAAAATGCGCGAGCGAATCGAAAAGCAAAAGCAGGAGTTACAAAGAGAGGTTGAAAAGAGAAAAAGGGTTCATATTGAACAATCCACTCCCACGAATGAGCAACAGAAACATATAATACAATATTCGCGTAAAAGTCCATATCGAAGTACTCCTCAAAATAATTCAGAAAAACGTCAAATCTTTCAAAAAGAGAAAATAAGTTCATTTTTGAGCGTCCCTGTAAAAGAGACTGGACAATCAATTGGACCTGCTGGTAAACAAAATATAAATACGGACGACCCTGGGAATCATATCAGCAACAATCCCCTTACTTATACAATTGCTTTAAATGACGAAATTATTGAAGCTGATATAAAAATCATTCCTGAGCCACTCCCATCAATAGCTATTACCAGCGACCACACCTCAAGTAACGATACTACTGAACACACCGATCATTTCATAAGGGAACAGAGTTTATTGTATGAACAAACTAAAACTGAAGAGAAAAAAGTTACGATGGACATTGCGTTGCCTCAAATCAAAGTAGAAACTGCTGAGACAAAGACGTCTATATCATATCAGCGAGATTTCAGCCGATGGCACACCGATACATCGAGGAAACAGTCCACATTTCTCAAGGGTGAGGTGTTTGGGCCAAATCATCACACATTATTGCCTATATCTATACCAACAGCTGGAGACGTAGTGGAAAGAACACCTCTTCAGAGTGAGGAAAACGATGACAATGACTACCAAATTAAAGAGAATGTTATTGCTCAAGTACAAATAGACAGTGATGATATGAAAACGCTTGCAAACGAAGGCAACTATCCCGATGATGCAAGTGAACGCGACGAGGTGGAAAATGTCGAAATATCCCCGCAAGACAATATTCATGTTGAGAAACGTAGTCCAGACAATGGGCAAACTGGTGAGGTTAAATCCTACAATCATTTTGACAACGAACAACAAGTTACAAAGAAAAATGAAGATGAGAATACTGGAGTTCGATTTGATAACGTAATAGAGATCAGAGAACGGACATATGAGGCAGGACCACCATCCATGGACGGTTTCAGCTCAGACGATGAATCCAACTTAAATGATCTGAGTGAATATGAATCAAGTGTGGACTGAGTCATCACACGTTTTAGCTCTGATATACATGTATCATCTTTAACAATGAATAAGGCATTCCAGAGATTTGAATATTTATCAAATGCAATATGAATACAAAAACTTTCATACACTTACATAATGAAACAAATGCCCCCAGGAAGGACTTTTTGACATATTTGCACATTGTTTTTGAGTGTAATCGCGATATACCTTGAGCACTATGTCAATATACATTACACGAGTTAAATTCAGCCACATACACTGTTCTAAGAACATTTATCGTTCAACAAGGTCACTGGAAACAACGGGACAAAGCGTCATTCAAATGGAAACAATGCTGAACGATTTAAAACATGATCACCTCTTTATATGGACGACACGTTCATGCAATTAAGAGTCATTTTCCTATTTTCACTTTTGTCATGAAATGTGACTCAATGCTTATATTACTTTTCGTGTTTTCCAAGAAAATGTAGACTTCATTCTTGTACTTTACCTCGCCTTTCTACCTCATCTGAGCTATGCGATCGAGAAAGCCTCTGAGTTACCTGATACAAATAATATTGGAAGTATAACCTCTGTTTGCTATACTGCATTTTTACTTAAAGTGTGCGCCTGACCCGGCTACGTATAGCACAGAGTTTATACTGGCGGATTAGACTAGTTCATTTTTTATATGTGTGTGAAAGCTTTCTCTTATTTTCGTTTTTTCGTTTAGTACGGTTTTGTTATAATTGCCGAGGTCATATAACCGGGATAAAACAATGATTATCGTTGACTGCCCACACACAAAACATACGTTGAGTGAACAGTGTTATTACAAACAACAGGCTTTAGAATACAAAGCGTAATGTGATAATAAGCTGCACACTACCACTGCTGCATGTACATATTACTAATTTACTAGGGCTCCCAAAGAGTGGATAGGGAGGTTGTGTTTGTCACTTTTAAATTTTACATTTCAAAATTGTCATTTCACATGTCATAATTTGTTGGTTTCATTCGTTTAGCCAATCAAAACATTGTAAAACAATAAATTGTCTGTTACGTACAATCAATTTTGGTCAGTTTTGATTAGTTGTCAGAATAAAGTTACGTTCATCTGAATCCATGTATCAAAACAAAAATCCTATTTTCACTTCAAAATACTTCAGTGAGATGAAGGCTCAGAATTGTCACATGCAATAACTTATTGTCGTATTCGTTATTTTATCTTCTCGATAGTAGCATTTAGTCGCACATTTGATGCCAGGTCACCTTGTCGCGTACCTCTTGGGGAACCCCACATTTATGTGTGTACTCATGGAAGTAAATTCCCCGGTGTAGCCGAGAGCCACAAACTTTTCAACAGGTTCGAAATGACCAATTTCTCTAATATATACTCTAAATATTTTATTATTTAGCACCTACAAAGTATTGCTAATAACCATATGTAATTTCAATAAGGAAACTTATCTGGCTACATATGAATTCAATATCAACACTAGCTGTTCTCTCAACACGTCCTGGCTTACCTTGTGGTGACAAACCCTGGATTTTCGCTATTTATAGTTTATCAACACCTGGACGCATGCGCATTTTATACTTTATCGGGCACTTTAAAGGCAGAAGCAAGATACTACTGACAACAACTTCTGATAATTACCATGATGCGAGTAGATCATTCTGATACTCATAGCATCTTTCTGTTTCACCTGAAACATCTCAGGGCTGAGAAGAAATGAGATGGCATGGTTTATCATGATGCGAGTAGGTAGCTACCATTTTCACCACCAGGTGGCTAATTCGGGGTAGATGGCATGGCGCAATATTAGAAAGTTCCCTCATTAAACTTGACTATTCTTCAGTTTTAGTGGTTCAATTTTCATACTACCATAATGTATCTGCTGGTTTTTATACAAATTAAAACATGTCCGGTAAAAGAAAAAGTTACCTGTCCAATTAAAGATATTTCACTTTTTGTGATTTTGTAACATGTTGTCTATGGGGAATCTCCCTGGCCTAGAAGTCTTATTTTGGTAAACACTTTTTAAAACCATATTTCTCGATGTAATTTTACATACCATATATATTTCAAATAATCACTGGTGATACACTCGATTACGCTGGTTACCGAAACGGTTCGTTTCGGTAACAAAATGTCGGAACGTCGAAGGAACCGTTTCGGTAACCAGCGTAATCGAGTGGATCACCAGTGATAATGTAAATAATTACTTTGACTGAATTTTGAATTTTCAATGACATAAATCAAGATTATTTCTTCTCGCATCTAGTCTATTGTTTCAATATCAGAATATTTTGGGCCCATATCATTCCTTGCCATATCTATTTCTCAAAATACCCAAAGTATACACTGCATTTGAGGAAAGCTATAGATTTTTACAATAATATGTCAAGGACGACTGGCGAGGATAAATTTTGTTATGGTCCGAAAGCCAAAACTCCATGGGAAACTGGTTTAACCCTGAACGTCTACAACCTTCTGTGTACACTAAATCATAAGGAGGCGTGGGGTCGACCCGCCCCTCGGGTTTTTTAATTATTGCTTGTCTGATTTCAATAATGTTGATATTGTATACATTAATTATCAAATTACCCCTTTAGACAACTACATAAATGAAATAGCACCGTGAGTACTGTGCTCAAATATGAAGACAATACCCTACAGACAATATTTTAGGACGGTTTATCCAAAGGGTTGATATCGATATGGAGAACTGAATTCAACAATGTTTTTCTCTAAACCAATTATTGAAAACATTCTGTAAAAAACAAGATATTTTATGTTATGTTGACTGATTGACAACAATTTAATGCGAGAATAATTTATATATATTTTATATAACTGTTATTGTTAACATTTTTTGTTTTTTAGTGCAATTGTTTTTTGTTATTGAGAATGAAATAAAATATCTTTCCGAAGCTTGTTTTAACAAAATAGCATATACAACATTTTCTTAGACTTCCCAATATTATAGCTGTACAAAGGAAATTTTGGTTGATTTAAAAATTATTTGATTAAAACAAAAAAAACGAAATAGATAAAAACTAAGATAAACCTTTAATTTCATTAACAAGATACTTTTTTCAAATCAACCAAACTTTCCTTTGTATTATTACAATATTGAGAGACATAACATGTCGTGTTAATTTCATTTTGTTCCAATGAGGTTCGGATAGATGTTTCATTTCATTCCGAACATATGATACCAAGAACAAAAAAAGTGACCGATGTTTTTTCTAAAACAATATAGAAAAAAGTATATATATCTATTATATTGCTACCTTTCAAAAGATGACCATTAAATTGACAAAGTGTAAAATTTTCAGAATTTTTTGATGACTGGTTTAAGAGAAACGTGTGTTCAAAAAGTTCGCCATATCGATACCATAACTTTGCCCTTTTACCCCCAATCAACTTAATTTTTACGCAAAAAGAAATGTCATTTAGCGGTGGCTCAAGCTAACGAATAGCGGAGGTAGAAAATACTTGCAAAAAGGACAACTAAAAAACCAAGGGGGTCTTGACCCCCCCCCCTCAGATATTAGGGTTTGATTGTTAGATATCAAACGTTCGCATTTTTTCATTTCCGTTCGCCATTTTGAAAGACCAGGTAACGATAATCAATGAATCCCTATTGTAACCAGTAAAAAGATCAATGGAAAATCACTGTGAGGCTGAGACATAATATTTGTCAAGCATTAGATCAGGAAGAGTGAAGATCTTCTTTAGCAGACTATACTCCAGTGCATATGGCCATATTCAAGTCTTTTTTATTCTTTTTAAGTTTGAAAATAATTTCATCGCTTGACACGGGTGTAATGGAATATCACCTTGAACCAAACGAGGGAAAACAAGTTGTTACTGGTAGGTCTGATATCATAACGTACGTGTATTCCGACATAATTTAGCATTTTTTATGAAATGATTGTTCAATTAACAATTATATAAAGTTATATATCAGAGTGTTCGATTCTTTTCTTTACGTTATTTGTTCGTGTACAGGATTCAGAATATAGCACAATGAACAAAAGATATATAAAATGTTTATAGGTGGGACGGTATCACTGGCCGTTAGGTCCAGAATGAATTGTTTTGTCGCTTGTCTGAAGAGCTCCATATGTATGTCGTCCGGATATAACAAGTACACAAAAGAATGTGAATTATACGATGAAGTCTCAAGTGAGATTTCAGCACAAGGATGGACTGTCACAACTACAGGTTAGTATTGAACTCTAGAAATTAGAACTCTTATTGAAAATGGTTCAGGGAGAAATGTCGGTAATAATTCATAAAGATATTTTAAAATTCCAATCCGAAACTAACGAAAACGGCATTTGATCGAGATATCTTTAATCACTTCATTTTTGCATTTGAAAGAGCATTATTTTTAAATTCTCTAGTTAAGGAGTTCCTGGTGGCTAGGAAATTCGTCAAATTACAGAAATAGTCTTTAAATGATTTTTCTAAATTCCTGTGTTCGTTCTTAAAGTCTTGACCGATCTTTGTAACCCCCCCCAGTAAGGCCTACAGTAGACTGATTTTCTGGGTCGTGTCTATCCCGTAAAATGTCATCGTTAAAACGAACGGCCGGATGTCGTAAAATATACTCCTCAAAAAGGTTAAGGACCAGTGGTTTTCTTCATAGGTTTACATGTTGAACCCCATATTTGTTTGAACGCCTATTTTCTAGGCTTGGAACAATCAGTCTGAGCTGTATTTGACAGTCATGTATGGCTTAAATGATAGGTTTAAGACATATTGTGCCAGTTTTGAAAAAAGCTGAGGTCAGTTAAAGATGTATTATACCATAGGTTTCTCGACCAGACAATCAATGATGTTCCATTGTTATTGCTAATATAATATCTCACATACCATGAATATATCTTGAGAATAACTTATGCGTATTTTATTGCCGAAATATTGGAATAATCAACAGAACAACCAACCTCCAGAATTAAACACAATCGATTCCTCGGCTAGCGAGGGGAATCCTCGTTTAGTCACACAAGCACCCAAACGCGCCCAAAACCAAGCACCCAAACCAAGCAACCAATCATGTTCATGATAAATAAATTCAACGAGCAATCAGATAACGGGGACTTTCCCGGTATATTCAAACTTAAGATTGAATTATTTTCCGTAAAAATAATTAGATCGGTCAACACAATCGCAAAATTAACACTGAAAGCGGGGAATTTCTTCTTTATTAAGTAGCTGGGTGAATATGTGGTAAAGCTCAATGTGCAAAAAGGTCCAGAGGGGTTTTGATTGTGCTATCCTATGGTATAGAGCCTCTTTAAGCTATATTATCCAAGGGAGACATGTCTAGCTTCTCCTAGAGATAACTACGTTTGTTTTAATTGATCGAAAGGAGTGGTATCGATATGGAGAACTTTTTGATCACACGTTTCTCTTAAACCAGTCATAAAAAAATCTGAAAATTTAACACATCATTAATGTTATGGTCATCTTTTGAATGGTAACAATATGATTTAAAAATATATATATACCTTTATTTCATTCTCAAGAATTGGTAGAAAGGAGCAAAAACAATTGCACTAAAAAAACAAAAGATGTTAACAAAAACAGTTATATAAAATATTTCTAAATGATTTTTGCATTATATTGTTGTCAATCAGTCAACATTACATGAAATACCGTATTTTTTTGATTTTCTTCTGATTGGTCAGTTCTTGTGATGTACAAATCTGTATTGCTACTGAGATTGTCCTCATTGCTCATCTCCGTCGCAATACAGAAAATATTGGTACGGAGGGAACAATCTCGGAGGATCACACGATAAAAACGTTATTGAATGATGTGAAGTGCAATACGGGATATATTCTGTCTCGATATTCTGTATTGACACTCGACTTCGTCCCATTCCAATACAGAATTTCTCGAGCAGAATATATCCTGTATTGCACTTCAAATCATTCAATAACTAATAAAATTGAGTAAATAGAAAAATGTTCCAATTTTTATTTGCCCACCCTATATACTTATATGACCACAACCGTTTTTGGGCAAATTTACGATAATTGATATTTTCAAAATCAATTGTCAAAATACAACGTTTTGTTTTGATTGTGGTGATACAAACCCGGAGCATGGATTGCGTTAATATTTTTTTCAAAATACATAAAAATATGTTTGACATCAGCTCTTAAAAGGGCGATGTTAGATGTGTCTTACCGATGCAATGAAATACTTTTTCTATGGGTTTCTAGACAACTCATCCCAAGACAACTCATCCCAAGACAAGTCATCCCTAAGACAACTCATCCCAAGACAAGTCATCCCCAAGACAACTCATCCCAAGACATCTCATCCCAAGACAACTCATCCCAAGACATCTCATCCCAAGACATCTCATCCCAAGACAACTCATCCCACTTGTATAATTGATAAATTATTTTGTCCTCTATATTATATATATCCCTTTTTCATTTTTATGATTACAAAGTGATTTTTAATTACACACTCAATTTTTAATACTGATTTTTAGCATTTTGAAATGGCATTTGAAAGTTATGTTTTACTTGTGAGTACTGCCGCTATTTTGATTAATTCTGAGTTATTCTAAATATATTTGAGAATATAGAACATAAAAGTCATAGACATTATTTCCAAATTTAATCATCATAAATCTGAAATTTTGAAATTGGCAATCTTATTTAGGATTAAGCCAAAATATTTTAAAACAAAGACTGAATTAATCTGATAGAATTATTCTGATAGCACCTTGGATAATACATTCTAACTGAGTTAATCCTACACCTTTGATGATCTTTGATTTAATAATCAAAGTATATATTAATTTGAACATGTTATCTTTATCCCAATCAGTCAACAAAAATTAACTAAAACTAGGCTAAACTAACTGCAAAATACAAAAATATTAAGTAAATACAGCGTGACAAAATATGAAATGTGTCAGTTTAAACTACAGCATCAAAAATGTATATAATAAAAAACAAAGATATTCCATGACCAGTGTGCTAACTGCTAAAATCTCTTAATATTTTTCATTCTTTCAAAAGTGAAAATTATGTTATATTTCAAGTAGGGAAGAGTTGTCTTGGGGATGAGTTGTCTTGGGATGAGATGTCTTGGGATGAGATGTCTTGGGATGAGTTGTCTTGGGATGAGATGTCTTGGGATGAGATGTCTTGGGATGAGTTGTCTTGGGATGAGATGTCTTGGGGATGAGTTGTCTTGGGATGAGTTGTCTTAGGGATGAGTTGTCCTGTTACCTTTCTATGCATATACCATTTGTCTAAAATTTTGTTTCCTCCAACACACTGGTTAAACTAACATTGCTGATGCATCATTTAAGATTTCGCCAGAAAGCGCTTAAGGGTTTTTAAGTGACAGATAATTAACACACCAGTCAAAATATTGTTATTTTTGTGGTGGATTTAGGTTTGCTGTCCAATCCAATGTAGTATTTAAATGATTGTTATATAAATTCTCAATTACACTCCCCTCCATAAGTTTGGCAACCTTTTCTCCCCCATTTAACTACGTGTTAAAGCCTCTTTACCTTTGTATTTTTATTTTCTATTGATGGAAACGTAATTTGACTTCATTTCCAATACCTCCAAATTTTCTCAATTTTTTCCTCAATTACAATAAGTCGAAAATTGATGATAAATTTGATGATTTTTTGAAAATCGACATTCCCATGTTAACCAATGGGAAATGGTAGGTTTGCCGCAAGTCATATGACAGAATATCCATCCATCAGAGTCCTTGCAAAAAATACGGGTTGGGTAGGCAGTTGAATTTGCTAACTTTATTTAACAAAAAATGATATGTTTCTTCAGGTTCAACAAGGTTTAAAGTCAAAATTGTTTTTCAAAAAACCTCTCCCATTGAAATAACACAAGAGGCGAAAAATTATTTTCAAAAATGACTTCGAAGCGCTGTAACTTTAGTATTCATCAAATAAACTAAACACTCAGTGTCCAAAAAGTTAGACAATTCAATTTTTTCTATATAAAAATGTTTTTTGCTGAATCGATATCCTGATTTCTGTTTGCCCCGAACCCTCCATTTCCAATTGGATTACATAGGAATGACAATTTTCAAAAATTCATCTTTATCATCAATTTTCGACCTATTGTAATTAGGGAAAAAATTTAGAAAATTTGGAGGTATTGGAAATAAAGCAGTCTCTTGTCTTTGGATCAATATCGTGAATTCACTTCAATCTGTCTTTTTTCTGTTTTAGTTAAATATGGAGAATCAGAGTCGTTGCCGGGATTAACTTGTTCGGATATTCAACAACGCCGTTCATCGGAGATGCTACCATCGGGGGTATATTGGGTGACACTCGGTGAACCCGGGGCATTCCAAGTCTATTGTGACATGGACACAGATGGTGGTGGTTGGACACTTGTTTGGACGTACAAGTTTACTAATTATGCGTCTTTTGCAACAAGCAGTAACGCAGTTACTCCACGACCATCGTGGGATGTCAGTCCTTTCACAGCATCGAGCTCTCCGATCTCTACCACCCCGCCTCTTACTGAGCAGGATTTAGGAGCTCTCGAATTCGCAAAATGGAAACAAATCGGGAGTGAATTTATGGTTAAGTCAAACATCAACCAATGGATCGCATGTACGCCAAATATTGGAAGTCTCGTCGATTGGGCAACGGGGTCACTGACTTGCCGCATGGTGAAGGTCATCGCATCAGGCCATTGCACGACAGCTGTACCAACCAGATTATCTTTCTGGAATTTTGGCCCCTCTCTCGATAAGACGTCGGCTTTTTACTACTTTGATACGTATAATCTCAACAACTACCCAACCCATGATCCCTGTGGGACTAACTCTGGAAATAAATATCTAACTGGAATACCCAACCCCCGAGGCAATATATTCATTCGATAATAACGAACCAATTTTTCACGGTCATCGGATATCCAACAAAGTAGCGGATGGCTAAAACAAAGGTTGAACTTGAACGTGCAGTATCTAAACAAAACACATGTTTTAATTAGTTTGCACTGTCAACATTACATTCAAGATTTAATGAAAAGATAGAAAAGAAAGCGTTCTTAAAATTCGTCGGATTCTGAGTTGGGAAGGGGGCCAATGGTCATTAATTATGCTCACCGAAAAAGTTTACCAAACTATCATCACAAAAGCAATGTTTTCAATATTAAATGTTATAATATGTCATGCAATTCAGTTGCAATCCATTGCTTTATGTTTAATTTTTGTCACCCAATTTTTCATATCTTTAGAAACACCTGAACAGCAAAAACACGTTGATCGGATATAATGGCTCCTTTTTATCCAATTTGCTTCATTACCCTTGTCTGGAGATATTAATTGGACCCGAAAATCAAAACTGTCAGAGATCGACTGCAACATTTTAGATTATCTTTTAATGCTGGATATAAAAGAAATTGCTATTATCAACAGCAATCAACAATGACGTTGGGATTTTAATCATCATTTATAATCTAGAAAATGTCTCCATCAAATATTTCAATGTGAAAAAGTACATCCAACTGATGGAAAGAAAATATATTTGTATTTGAAAAGCACTTAAATTCAATTAAGGAAACGTTTGAATGGAGGATTTTTCATAACAAGACACAATGCAACATAATCGACAGATTGTAAAACAACATTTATAGATATCCTAAATGTCTCCAAACAAGAGGCGTCGATACGTCTCCAGCTATTACCCGTACGCAGAGCATAAGAATCACTAGTCTATGACTCAAAATTTTTGTTGGTAATCCAAGGTGAATTCGAAAGTACTCTACCTACGTGTATAGTGTAAATTCTGTGTCAAAAGTTTACAGACATAATTTCGCAATTTAGGTGCACGAAAATGTACGATTTCATGTGCTCTTTATTCCAGACGCTCTAAAAGCGAACGCTCTCCATTCCTGACGCTAATGTTCTATTCCAGACGCTATTTACCTATTCCCGACGCTATCTATTCTGGACGCTCTGAAACCGAACGCTATCTATTCAGGACGCTCCATTCTGGACGCTCACTATTAAACCGGACGCTATCGATTCCAGACGCTCTATTCCAGACGCTCTATTCTGGACGCTATTAAACCGGACGCTATCGATTCCAGACGCTCTATTCCAGACGCTCCATTCTGGACGCTCTATTCTGGACGCTATTTAACCGGTCGCTTTCAGCAATCAGGACGCTCTATTCTGGACGCTATTTAACCGATCGGTTTCTGCAATCAGGACGCTCTATTCTGAACGCTACTATTTAACCCGACGCTTGTATTCAAGACGCTCCATTCTGGACGCTCGATGACATTAACCAAAAGCTCTCCACTCTTATTCTGATTGATATATTATGAACGTATTGCATTAACCCCGACCTCAACATATCACATCAAGGGCAATACAATATTAAACACGCGCTTCTATCATATCGTAGTAAAGTTTCGAACATTTTCAAAAGATGGGGCGTATATTAGCACTTTTGATATTAAGTTTACGAATTTAATTTATAGATCATGAACGTAAATTGCATTAACACTGTCTACAACATCTCACATCAAGAGCAATGAAGTATTTAACGAGCACATCTTACATATCATATCATTTGTTGCGGTAGACCTTCGGATTTGTTTTGTTTAGTAACATTACATAATTGGATTAGCTCAATATATGTAAGCTAGGGGTGGTAGCATATATTTTAAAATGGCTATGGCAATCATTGGTAAAAAATCTTAGGAAATATATGCCATTTTTCTGGGGCTAGTTTACCCACAAACGATTTATTTTGAGCAATTTAAATGCATACTCAACTATTCGACAGATATGCTACTTTGAAATTAAGAACATAAATAAACATACTTTTGCTTTTTTAGTCATTTATTCATGGAACAAATCTCACGTTACTGCCAACTCGAAAAGCTAGTTTCGCATTCGTCAGGTCTAAGGTGGATAAATGGGTTTTTGGTGGTTCAGGTGATTTGTTTAATGTTTCAGCTTTCCTGGTAGGTATATGTATTATGTTGGTAGTATATCTTGTTGTTGAGATATTAACTTAAATGTTCCGTTTAGTGGTCCGTATTTCAAATATTTCGATTTTATTGTATTTGGTTTTTATCAAATTGGTGTATTGGTTAATTGTATTGGGGTATGGACAGTTCGGTGTTGGTTCGGTTGTTTTGTTCATTGCGCTTCATTGTCATGTGTATTTTGTGTTGATATCGTGTGTGTTCGAAGAGGCATTAACTTGTTCGTGTATGGTTGTATTTTTTATTTTTCCGCATTTTGCGATATTTTCGATTTGTTAAGTTGGTGTGAGTTTGACTGTGTCTCGGGTAGGTCTATTGTGTGTAAATTACATTTTGGTGGTTCAGGAAATCTGCTTGATGTTTTAGCTTTCAGTTGGTATATGTATTATGTTGTTAGCATATCTTGTTGTTGAGATATTAACTTGAGTGTGGGGTATGATGGTCCGCTTTTCAAATATTTCGATTTTCTATATTCGGTTTTTATCGAATGGGTGTAATGCGTATTGGTTAATTGCATCAGGGTATGGTCAGTTCAATGTTGAGATTTAATTTGTTTGTTTTGTTCATTGTTTTAGCTTCATGGTCAGGTATATTTTATGTTCATATTGTGCGTATGAGAATAGTTGTTAACTTGTTCGTGTTTGGTCGTGTTTTTGGTTTTTTCCGCGTTTGCGGTATTTTCGATTTGTTAAGCTGGTGTGAGTTTGGTGGTGTCTAGGGTGGGTCTATGGTGGGTGAATTGTTTTTTTATTGGTTCAAGTGGCTTGTTTAATACTTTAGCTTTCTATTGGTGTGTGTATTATGTTGGTGGCATATCTTGTTGTTGAGATATTAACTTGAATGTAGGGTTTAATAGTCAGAATTTCAAATATTTTGATTTTCCCATGTTTGTGTTTTATCGGAAGGGTGTATGCGTATTGGTTAATTGTGTCTGGCTGTGGTTGTTTTATTGTTTAAGTTTGGTTTGGTTGTATTGTTTTTCTTAAGCCTCTATTGTGAGGTATTTTTGTGTTGATAGTGTGTGTGTTGAGGGAGTTATCAACTTGTTTGCGCATAACCCTTTTTTGGTTTGATCTGAGTTTTGTGGTGTTTTGGTTTGTGTATGTGGTGTTGGTTTGGTGGTGTGTGTAGTACGCATGTGGTGGGCTAATTTATTTTTCGATGGTTTGGTTGTTTTACGATTTGTTTTGGCTTCGTGTTGCTGTGTGTGTTGTGTTGGTGGCATGTCTCGTTGTTAAGATATTAACTTGATTTTGGGTGCCGTCTTCCCGTTTATGGATATTCTTGTTTTCCGTGTGTTGCGGAATTGTTGTCGGTTTTATAGAAAGATGTCGCTCTTTGTTAATTCGTTTGGTTACAAGGGGCGATATTTTTTTAAGATTGGTAGTAAGGTTGCTTTCGGTGAGTTCGAAGTGTACACGCATTGTTCATGCAGTCTGTGAACAAGTGGTGAGGGGTCTCTGAATGGGGACCTGGAAGACATAATCTAGTCGCCTTAGTTTCCCTAAACTATCGCATGTCTAATATGTGACAAGAGTAGTATATGTCAGTAAATAAGGCGTAAGATACTAGTATTGTTCGTATACCCTAGAGATAATATTGTTTTTGTTTTGGGGGTAAGGTTGCCAAACTTCCCCTAACCACCGTTAGTACTCATGTGACGGGTAGTCTATATTTGGTAGATCCTAGCTATAGTGTAATGACGTTGGTGTGGTATTTTCTATCTTAATAATCATTTACGTAGGAGAGACAATCTGAACCCGGGATTTCGAACATGAGAATATGAGATGGAACTGTCTGAATGGAATACATAGGCCTGACAAATCAGATCAGAGGGGCAACCCTCCCCCCCTGGAGTTGACTTTTTGTTGATATGAAAAATGCATTTGTATTAACAGGGTACCTACTCACTCATCAACTTCATGTTAAGGCTCCTTTTTAATATGGCACATACCTCATCAACCCCCTACGTAGGCTTTACTTTTAATAGGGTACCTACCCCCACAAAATTATAGATAAATCCATGGGCTTTCAAAAGCTTTTGAAAGCCCATGATAAATCTAATTTCAAAGTTATTCAATTCATGAAAGCGTCTGGTCTGGAACAGAAATCTCAATGACTAAGATAAACAAATCGAGTTCAATGCACGAGAGGTTTATCCTTACAGGAAATAAACAAATGGCGTGTTTTGATAACTTATTAAGAATAAACTCCGGGAATAAACAGTGTATCTGATTGCTAAAAACTTGGTAAATGAATCAGTCCATGTACGTTTTACCTAAATATAATAAACTAGATACAAACTATTTCATTAAAAGTAAATAATTAAAACATAAGACGGGATCATATCAGAATTTCACTCAGGGAAATAAGAAATGTTTTCTTTTGGCAAATTATTGGGGATTATGAAATTGTCTCTCCAAATAGCTAAATATCTGCAACTTTGTCTCATTTGCTTGTTTTCCTCTTTTATGAAACAGCATCGTGTGTTAATTTATTATAGCTCACCACACATCTATAAAAGTTTTTTTATTTTGGCAAATCAATTTCACATTTATGGGTGAAGTTTCGAGATCTTCCATTTGTGTACGAGAGGAAAACTTAACATCCAAATTCCCAGTAAATACCCCCATAACGTATTAGTATACAGCCTGGGATATGAAATATTCTCCAAATGAAACAAAGCAGTTCTAAGAAGGACTTACATGTATGTTGGCCGTTGTACATGTATTCTTTGAACAACCACTCTCTCAATAATGTTTTCAGAATCATTATAACGGATTACTTTATCTCCAAGACAATTTCAACAAACTGGAATTTACAAAACTTCCCTTATTTCTTAAAAATGGACTGGTCCAGTTGACTCACCAGGAGCCGCTA